GCCTGGCTAGAACAAGTAGCATCGACACGGTAGAACCCCGAGTATGTCTGTTTCTCTCTTACGTAGAATGCATATGCCCGGTTGCATGGAGGGGCAAGTAGTTGTTTATACTCTACACCGGCGCCGCTGAAGTCATGGACCCAGATCACTAAGTTCTGGGGTATATGAAGCTTGCTACCTGCAGTCATTTTGTTCAGGAGTCACTTCCATATACTGCATTGCACCCATGACAGAAGTCATCGTCCTCAATGTCAAGATGCACCCAAAGCTCAGATAATCCACTTATCTCACAAGCACCACAATGGATACAACTCCAATAACGGACTTCATCCACGACAAGTTCGACTTCATCATCGTCGGCGGAGGCACCGCAGGCCTTGTCCTCGCTGCCCGTCTATCCGAAGATCCCAACATTCGCGTTGGAGTCATCGAAGCCGGGCTCTCGCGACTAGGTGATCCGAAGGTGGACACGCCTACCGGAATGGCCATGACCCTGAAAGATCCAGAGTACGACTGGTGCTTCCAGACTTCACCACAGGTATGTCCTATCCACTATCAGACATGAGATAATATCCAAGCTCACAATCAGCCAATTGTAGAGCGGCGTAAACAACAAAACCTACGCCACCCATCGCGGCAAAATGCTCGGCGGCTCCAGCGGCTTCAACTTCATGATGTCCGGGCGACCCACGGAGGAAGAGATAAACGACTGGGGCAAGGCCACGGGAGTAAAAGGGTGGGAGTGGTCTGAATTACTGCCGTATTTCAAGAAGCATGAGATGTTAGAGGTGGATCAGCCGAATATCATGTCCCGGGATACGAATATCTGTCCGCTAGAACCTGGTCTACATGGGACTGATGGACCGATCCACCATTCGTTTGGGACTTGGCACGCGCCGTTTGAGAAGGATCTTATACCTGCTCTTGACACTGTCTCGGGATTGTCGCGACCAGAGAATCCATATGCCGGAAACCACCTGGGGTTCTATCGCACGCTGTTCACGATCGATCGCACCGGCAAACCAGTACGCAGCTACGCTGCGAGCGGATACCTAGCTCCGAACGCCGGTCGTTCAAATTTACGGGTCCTGACAGACGCACTCGTGTGCAAGGTCACGCTCGGGACGAACGAGCACAGCGAACGTCAGGCGATGGGTGTGGAATTCCTGCATCAGGGGACGTCGTATACCGTGCGTCCACGCAAGGAAGTCATCCTCAGCGCAGGTACAGTACAGAGTCCACAACTCCTAGAGTTATCCGGGGTAGGCGACCCGAATGTCCTAGGCCGGATTGGCATCCCCTGCATCGTTCCGAACATGGACGTGGGAAATAATCTCCAAGAGCAGGCGCTGTGCTCCGTCGTGTATGAACTAGCACCGGGGTATACGTCCGTCGACTCGCTACTCCGTGATCATGCTATCTTCGCGGAACACCAGAAATTATATGAAGAGGAACACACCGGTGCATTGTCCGGACCGTTAAGTATAACGGGCTACACTCCCTACGCGACACAGATTGAGAAACAGGACCTCGAGAAAACAGTCGCTTGTTTCCTCGATCCCAAGAACGCGTCCACGAAACAGGACACTGTCCTCCAGAATAAACAACGGAAGATCATTGCAGCACGTATCCAGGACCCTACCTGTCCCTGTATCCAGTACATGTGCGCGCCCGAGAACTTCGATACTGCCCGCGCCGTTGACAATCTCGGCGCAGTCATGCCCGGTCCACCGTCTGGGTTTAATGACTGCTACTCTATCACAACGAGCCAGATGCATCCTGTGTCCCGGGGACGGGTGCACGTTGTATCGGATGATCCGAAGCAAGCTCCAGATATTAGTCCGGGGCTGTTGGCTCATCCGGCTGATGTGGATGTGCTTGCTGCGGGGGTTAAGTTTGCTGATAGGGTGTTTCGGTCGGAATTGATTAGGGATAAAGTTGCGAGGAGGGTGAGACCGGATCCGGGGGTGGATGTTGGTGTTAGGGATCAGGCGAAGGAGTTTGTGAGGGAGAATGCGGTTCCATTTCAGCATTTGGTAGGAACGTGTGCTTTGGGGATGGTGGTGGATGAGAGGTTGAGGGTGAAGAGGGTCAAGGGGTTGAGGGTTGTTGATGCGAGTGTTGTGCCTATGATGGTGAGCCCGTCGTTGGCGGCGGTGGTGTATGCTGTTGCTGAGAAAGCGGCGGATTTGGTGAAGGAAGATTGGGGGTTGGTTAATGAGTAGGGGAGTTGGTATGCTTTGTGGGTTGCATGTTTGCAGTGGAATCACATTCACTATGGTGTTTGTTGACTAGCAAATTGGACTTGGCCGTTATTCAGTCTACTAAGAGTGTCAAGTACGGTGGTATTCGCTAATTGTTTTTCTACTTGTAATCTTTATATCAGAATTCACATATCAATTATTAATTCCAAGCATTAATTATTAGACGTTGGCCATATGCAACCAAAAAGCACCCCAGATGGTCATCATCATAGCACAATATGTACAGCCCACACAACCTCACCTCACGCACCAAGCTCATTCCGAGGCGTTCCCATTATCTCGCTCACCGGTCTATGATTCGACACCTCTTCTATACCTTCCGTGTCGAAAGACGGAGAAGGCAGTTCCGCGATTACTGTTTCCGCCCTGGACATGCGAGTATCCAACGTATCCTTTGCCGCGCCAACCATCACAGAGGGTGTTGATTCATTCGAATTCGGAGTCTCGTCCAACCCCCTCGCTCTTTGCGATCGACGGCGATACAGAAAGATTAATGCCCCAATGATTGACATAGCCAACACTCCTAGCGGGACCCCGAGACCAATCCCAACTTTCTGTGCGACAGTAAGACCACTGCTATTATCGGCAGTAGAGGGGATAGAGGACGCTGCTGTTGTCTCGGCCACCGCGGTGCTGGTACCTTGTGAAGAGGATGTAGATGTGGATGTTGCAGAAGTAGCGCTGGAAGTGCTGCTAGACGTGTTGCTGGTCGGGTTGTACAAATTGTAAAATTCGGGCGGGGGGTCATCTTTCTGACGCTTGCTCACACCGAACTTGACACTGGTGAGTACTGGTGGGTCAAGATTACCGAACATGTCCAGTGAATCGAGCTCGAACGCGCAGCCGGACTCTCTGTAGTTGTCGCGGGTTGCGTTCCAGACGTAGCTGTAGGGGTTGGTGACGTTTACTATGATTCTATCAGTCAGTGTTCAATTGAGGCAGTCGTAGGTGTACAGACATAGCAGAGATATCTTGGTGTTGCACACTTCATAGAGAGAAACGCGCGATGTCACCACATCCCATGATACATTGACCAGGTCTCCCACGATGAATTCATATTCGGTTGCTGTCGGGTGGGTGAAGCTCTCTGCTTGAACAAGGCATCTGTATTGAAGAACAAGCAGAATGCATACGTAGTATGCGATTCTGCCGGAATCTCGTTGAAACATCATTTTGGACCTCGTTCGTCCAGCAAGCATGGACATAATCAGAACAGCATTGATTCTCAGCAGGAGGTTCCGATCTTTTGAGAGATCCGATAATTAATTTAATTGCTGTCTCAGCCACCCCGGGCTGCTGTTCTGTTTTTATCGTGCGGGGAAAGGCTATCCCTGCAAGTCACCGTCTTCGCGTTACCCAGTTAGTCCGGCTGGCCAAAATCATGTGAATTCGGGGCAAGGGTTCAATTCATCGCCTGCCATGGGTCTTCTCAGCCCACGAGGCTTAGAATATATCGTGGGCAGTGTTTGGGGGTAAGTATTTGTTAGCTATGTCGTTCTTATAGCAACAATGGGCCAGGATTACATGGTACATGGGTTGATCATGCGATGCGTCTGCGCCGCTGTGGCTTGGCTGGGATGGTCGGGCTGGTGATAGCTCAACTTTCGAGTAGTAGCAGATGGATGTTGGGGTTTACCTTCGTCTTGAAGCCCGCCGGTATTTAAGATTGGGGTACTTTCATAGTCGTAAGGACATCTCGCTCTGTCTGTAGGGTAGATGAACAATTACTTTGCTATTCCAGAGAATCTACCCGATCCTCTGAGTGTGCTATTGTTCCCTGGTTGAGTTTAGGATAAGACAAGGCTATTGCACATCCTAGATACACTTTTTCATGAACATGGGATAATTTTGAAAAGATGTACTTTGCATGTGGAGGCCTATGGTCAGCCTGGGGCCTCGTGCGGGTGACAAGGGATGTCAGTCCTTGAATGCTTCGGGTGTAGAGATTGTTTTTATTCCAGCGACAGTGTGAGAAGACGGCTCTTAAGAAAGTTTACAATTTCGGATGATGGGCCTGTATCGCCTGAGCGAGAATCGGCATTGGTACATGGACAAACTGGGAATACTAAGTAGTACTCAACTGACAAAGGGGCCAGCATTGAGCTGCCTATTTTGGTAAGTAAACATGGGCTAAGCGAAGAATGCGGTGATCGGCCAGTCAGATACCGGAATCAAACGAGACAAAAATCACGGGAGGAGGAATGAGGACAAAAAGTGAAAAACACAAAAAATGGAGCTGCGGGGAATCGAACCCCGGACCTCTCCCATGCTAAGGGAATATTATACCACTAAACCACAGCCCCTTTTTGTTGAAGGATGCCTTCATCTTTTGCTATATGAAACAAGTCTATATTTCAGGTTTCGATGCTCGTTAATCTTGCTTATGGATGGCCACCGTAGCCTACCAGATACTGTACCTCAAAACAATAGGCCCCCCTTCATGATTATACCTACCTTTACCAGAGCCATTGGTGCCGCGAGCTTATTTGGTGCTAATAGCGTGTCGTTGGTGTTGTGGACCCAGCACTGCTCTCAAATCAATCTCCGATGGCGGTGGTTATATATTTTTACTTCGCAGTTGACGGATATTCGTTTGCTGGCAGCATCACGACACCCCCGAAAAGAAAATACACAAATTGACATGAACATACGTCTAGGATAGCTCCTATAAAGAAAGGTCCGACATATGCCCCGTTAAGCTAGCTTATATAGCAGGTATGGTGAGGATCTCTCGTGATGCCTAGTTGGCAGTCGGCAGTCGGTGCCATGCAAGGGATCGGGTACAGCTGCGTAGCAGACAACAGCCCAAACTGCACCAAAGCCATGAACTCACCTGGTTTAGCAACTAAAAGTGAGATTCCTGCTATTATCTATTACAATGCGACACCTTTCTTACTTACCAACTGGCATTGCAAGTTTCCTGGGTATGTCTACCGGTGGATTAAGCCCGGGATACCCGACCACTATGGACAATAGCAGCACACTCCTGGCCCAACAGCTACCGCAGAAGATCGATATCCACCATCACTTCGTGCCCGATTTCTTTCGTCAGGGTATGTAGACAATTTGACATCGATCGAAAACCCCGCACTAATTCGTGTGACGCACATTCAGCTGTCGAAGATGCAGGCGGCGACCCGACGGGCTTGCCAGTCCCCGCATGGACTGTCGAGGACTCCCTCCAGAACATGCGGGACAATGGTGTTCGAAAGGCCATACTTTCTTTGACCACTCCAGGTGCAGTTATTACAGGCAACAATGATACGGCGCGGTCGCTAGCTCGAAGGGTCAATGAATATGCCGCCAGCTTGCGCGACCAGTACCCCGAGCAGCTCGGATTCTTCGCTGCGCTGCCATCTCTTCTGGATGTACCCGGCACCCTGGCTGAAATCGAATATTCCCTCGACACCCTTAAAGCCGACGGGGTCACCGTATTCACTCGCTACGGCGATGGAAACAACTACCTAGGTCATTCTCAGTTCACTCCCATATGGAAGGAACTAGATACCCGCAAGACCGTGGTCCATATCCATCCTACCATGCCCGAGAACACCAATTGGATTGATCCTATCATGCCACCTCCAATGCTTGACTTTCCGCAGGAGACTACACGGACTGCCATAGACATGATTGTTAGTAATGTCACGCAGCAGTTCCCGGACTGTCCCAAGGTCTTGTCGCACGCGGGTGGGACCTTGCCGTATTTGATCTCGAGGGTGGCTGTGACTTCTCGGGATACGATGGCCGCAAAGGGTCCTTATGGCAAGACCTACTTTGAGTTGATGGAGGCACTGCGCTCGTTTTATTACGATCTTGCTCTGTCGAGTGCTCCCGCGGTCTTGAATCTTTTGTTGGACCTGATACCGCATGACCACATTATGTATGGTGAGTGTTTCCATCCAAGACATATAATGATAGCTGCTGAAGAAGTAAGTAGGATCCGATTATCCGAATGCCCCGCCAATTAAAGTAGCTGGTTACCGGGAGAATCTGGATGCGTTCCATATGAATGAAGAGCTTCGGGACAAAGTTTATTTTGAGAACGCGCAGAAACTCCTATCTAGAAATTGATCTCGGAACGTCGGCTGGGGGAGTTGTATGTCCCTGACTCAGACCACGATATGACAACCTCTAATAGTTACTGCTTGATTGATGGATCCAAATATGCAGAAAGATACGATAAGAGGATGCTTGATGTAAAGCTTGTTTATGCATCTGCCACTAGTTGATAACTAGACGTGCCACAGTGTTGCGAGGGAAGGTTTTGGATTGTAAGCCATACAGCCACGCAGCCCAGTCCTCTATACCGTACAAAATCTAATACCGAAACTCCTGCCCAACAAGCCCCTCACTCAACCTCCACAAAGCATCAGCACTCGCAGGATCCCGAGCATGCTCCGCAGCCTCACTAACCACACTATTCTGCATGTACACCGGCGCCAGAGCCTGCAACTCCGGATCCAAAGCGGCAATCAACGGAGTAGCCGCAATCTGGGTATACGTTTTGAACCGAGGCTCCTCGAAAACAAACTCCTTGCCGGTATTCCGTATCGCAACCGCATAGATCTTAGCGTAATCGACCCAAGTAAGGTGACTGCCAAGTTTAGTATCTCCGTTATAGCCTGGATGAACAGCAACGGCTGCAATCCCCTTATGCTTTAGCCGCTGGCTGAAGCCATAGGTGAATAAGATATTGGCTGTTTTAGCCTGCCCGTACCCAGTCCACGGGTCGTATTCTTTTCCGTTGGAATAGTTCCAGTCTTCGAACCGGAATGGCGAGACGAGGTACCCGGCGCTAGTTAGATTGACCACGCGCGCGGATCCAGCAGATATGAGAGCCGGGATGAGCATGTTGGTGAGTAAGAAGTGACCAACGTGGTTGGCAGAGAGTTGTAGCTCTATCCCCTGCTTGTCGAGGGTGTATTCCTTGATTGCCATGACCCCGGCGCTGTTGATCAGGACATCGATCTTGGGTGCCGCGGCGAGAATCTCACCTGCGGCGCGGCGAACGGATTCATGATCTGTCAGGTCCACCTCTACCGCTGTAGTTTTTATGGTGCTGTCGATGGTGTGGATCTCATCCAAAACTGGATGAACTTTGCTGAGGGTGCGTGAGGCAATGAGGATATGTGATGGCCCGGCTTTGGCTAGAGATGTAGCCATCTGGCTGCCGATACTGGGCTTGCCGGCGCCGGTGATGACGAAGGTCTTGCCTTTGATGTTAGACTTGAAGGCTTCGATGACCTGTTCGCTGGTGGCTGTTGCGTCGAAAATGGGCATGGTGGATACTTGAGGATACGGTGACTTGGGTTATCCCAAAGCTGAATTGAATGAGAATGCAATGAAATTTTTGTCTGTGTCTACAGAAGGTTTTCTATGGTTTTATATTGCTAGGAGCGTCTTGATCCTAAGCTGGAAGTCCCATCTCTGCCAGGTCCACTGGCCCCGAGGCTACATCTTGATCGTCCACCGAACCTGCTCACTGCTTAGAAATAAAAAGCTATATGAAAAATCACCAGGAGATAAGCTGTCATCAATCGTAAACTCCGAGCCTCGATCCCTAAAATACGACCTGCTTACACCCCCACACAAGTTGGTAGGTAAAGCTGGCGCAATTTGTAATCTTAGGAGGAATAGTTATAGTTAGTTAGCGTCTAGAGGTCTTACAAGATATATCCTTTTACTCATTTTGCAAAATAACCAACAATTCCTCAACAGCAAAGGGGCTGTGGTTTAGTGGTATAATATTCCCTTAGCATGGGAGAGGTCCGGGGTTCGATTCCCCGCAGCTCCAGCTGTTTCTTTTTGTATTTTTTTTGGTTCGCTACCCGCTTCCCTCCATGCTTCGCATTATTGTTATCTGCACTGTGAATAGGGTTTTTCTTATCCCTGCGAATTGTGTGCTGGACCCTAGTAGACAGCCTTGTTGATTCTGTTTTCTAGCTTGCTAATTACGACCGACCGTCAGCGTAGCCAGTCGTGCTTCAGCAACTGGATTGGTACACCTACTACACTGCAGCCGTGATCTCGTCGCCTACAATTGCCCACTTCGATGCAATGTGAGTAGCCCAATGCAACCGATTACCACCACCCCTGAGCACTTTCCAAGCCATCCATAACCACCTTCATAACGCTCTGTGGAGCCTTTGTGGAGACCTCTCAATCTTTATAGAAACGCGAGACTCGACTTCCATGCTCTAGTGCCTTGGACCTTAAACCAGAAGACGGAGAGTGTAGAAGTATCACGAATCTAAAGATAGAAATGCTTCACATCTACTTAAGTTGAGGCGAGCTTTAGAGACTAACAGCACATGACGGATGGCTCATCACCAACGTCATCTAGTAGGACGGAAGACACCTTGCTATTCCATACATATACCACGCGGCATTGAACATAAGCCGCCTAGCCTCCTGATCGAGCGGCACTGTCCGTTGCACCCACATAAGTAGCCTTTGCCAGTGTCTCCACCTCGTGAAACCATATCGAGGACCAGTATAGTACGTACCAGTTCTCCACATATCGTTATCATGTATCTCGTCAAGCTTAGGTGCTCGAGCGACCTCCTCAAACAACCATTCCCCAGCAAACAGGATAATTATCGCAGCACCCTGTATGGATACCATATCCATATCGTCTGGCAGCGTATCTTCCAAGGCAGCCCTCATTTCATTGACTAACCAAGCCTGAGCTTGCAAAACTCCCACTCTGCAAAGCCGCGCTATGAAGGCCCGAACGTTAAGGAAGTGCTCTTCGTTTCTATCCCTGTCCATTTCTAGGCATTTGTCAGTCTTCGAAAAATACTGATATTGGGGGATAGCATGACGGGGGCTTTATTGCACGCAACCAGGTGCTGTGTATAACGCACGGGTTCTAGCAAAGGAAAGGAAGGAAACCCAGACGTACGAGGCGCAGAATAATGTACTAAGCTGAGCGCCATTTGTGGCATAGTTTCATAGCGACCGAATCCCTGCTACTAGATGTCAATTTCGCTGGCTCAGGCTATGCCGGCTTCTAGGCAGCCATGACTCACACCGGCACCGGCACGTCGTGGTATATGTTTTTTCACGCGGTCCGACTCTTGCAGTCTTTGAATAACCCGCACAAAGCGGTCTTGAGCAGCATTGTCGTACTCGATCTGCTGAGATAACTCGAGTATGAGGTTTCCGAACAAGTCAGCTCCACCGGGGAAAGCAGGGTCATCTGGTGGGGGGAGCAGATCATGAAGCGCTTGGGCAGTTTCCTCTATGGTAACGGTAGAGTGTGGCACTAGGAACTCCTCTATGATCCGAAAAGCTCCCAATCGCGAATAGTTGCCTCTCATAGCCCTGTTGTATTCGTTTTCTCCACCCTGCAATACCAACCAAGCCATGTTGTCCTAAACGAAAGAATGGATTTGGGGTTGTTTTCAAGCAGACAGTGTAATCAAGGGAGTGTGAACGAATGTTTGTTCTCTGAAAAGACTGAACAAGTAGCTGGATGATAGCAGAGAATGTAAGATATTGAGTTGACCAAGAAACAAGTCTCTTCGGTGGGCCAGAAGACATAATCTCGGCCAGGATACTAGGATGGCGCGGGGGGATCGAATTCGGCAAGCATGGACGGCCGTGAACGTCCCTTCCACCATGGATTGAGGTGCTTACTCAATCCTAAGAGATAACTTCAATACAACTCATCTATCCAGCGAGATTGAGTACCAAACTACAAACAACAACCTTAGAACGACCACTGCTTCAACCAATTCCTCATATCACCTCCCGTAACGGGTCCCAATGCAGCCATAGTCTCGCTTGCCTCTTTTGACTTATCTACCTCAAGTGGCACCAAAAGCGTAGTATCTTCCGCAAACTCACGATAGAATTCAAATAGCTTGAGAGCAGGCTTCTCTGCGATATCCTGCTCAGATGGGTCTTTCATGCCCAATTCTTCGAGATGTTCGACCCACGTTGCGAAAGCCACCGGCTTCATGTCCGGATATACCTCTTTGATAGTAGGAACGAGTGCTTCCCAGGTTGTTTTTGATGGGTTGACGAGGTGGAATACTGCGTGTGGGGAAAATGGATCAGCTGTAGAAGCGCGGGTGTGGATAATCTCGGTGATTATGCGGGCGAGTGTGTCCTATGCATTACAGTACATTAGCAGCTAGGCATAGCAATTTATTACTAGACGGGAGATGGAAGGGGGTATTACCACGGCAATCCAATCAACAACTCTCGAACCCAAAGTATTCGGGACCAGTCCTATCGCCTTTGATGTCTTGATAATGGTAGGAAGCCAGTCCTGGGGATTCCATAGACCTTTTTCTGTGGTCGGGCCTGCTATCTGTCCCACGCGATATACGGTAGTCGGGACGCCCGACCTGCGGCTTGCCTCCTGACATATCCGCTCGGAGATGTACTTGGATTCTCCGTATCCTTGACTCGGACATGCTTTGCTATCTTCGAGTGGGCTCTCAGGGATCGTTGATCCCATGTCCCAGGTCCAGGCGCCTACAGTGCTTACTGATGAAATGAAGTGAATATGCGCACGATGAGTACTCTGGAGACTGAAGTCGATGAAGTACCGCATGCTGCAGATGTGCGGGTCTTCAAACGAGTCGACGCTGTGATTGAAGTCGACTTTCCAGGCGTTGTGGATTATTGTTGTTACGGTGGTGAGGAGGGCGTCGTATTTCAGCGAGGAGAGACCAAAGTGTGGGTCACTGAAGGGGACGGTGAGGTATTCCACCTTGTTGAGGGCGGTTGAAGTGATGTGAAGACCCTTTTGTTGGAAAATAATTTCTTGTTTGGACTGGGCGTCGCTGCGGTTGAAGCAGTAGACTTTGGCGACGCTCGGGTCTTCGAGGAGGGTGTGCAGGAGGTAGATTCCCAGCGAACCGGTGGATCCTGTAAGAATGACTGTAGATTTTGTAGGTGTGCTTGAAGTCTGACGTGAAATGAAGTTCTGGACTGGTAAGTCGGAGGTGTATTTTTCAATAAGAGTGTTGAGCTTCTCTGGGTGGGAGATCTCTGTCGCGTTATCACCGTTCAGCAGCCGCAGAACCAATTGTGCCAGCTTTTCCACGGTCGGATTTGCGTAGACCATTTGGGTTGTCAGCTCGTCTGAGCCAGCACCATCGCGGAATAGATGTAGGGCGCTGCGCAGATACTTCGCGACCTGGATGGTTTGTAACGAGTCGAGACCAAGTTTGTAGAGGTCTTCCTGCGGACCAAAGTCGGATCGCTGGAGGATCCTCGTAAACAAGTCGTGAATGTATCTACTCAGATTAGAAAGGTCTAGGCTTGCTGGAAGCTCGTCCACATCAACTGTCTCCTCGTCAGTCGTGGTGTAGATGGCGTCAATCTCATCAGTATAGTCTTTAATTACAGCAGCTCTTCGCGTCGAACCTTTTGGGGTAGTTTGGAATGGCCTGTCCCTCTTCGAAAGAGCGATCTTGTCTTTCAAGATTCGTCCGTGGGCTGCTACAGTTTTGTTTGCTTCATCGACTGCTGGCCAGATATCGTCGATAAAGGAACTAGGGTCAAGGTATGAGTCAAATGCATCCCAGTATGGCTCGACCAGCAAAGCAGTGTGGAACTGTCCTTTTCCGACCACCAATGCTCGGGAGATAAGAGGATGCGCCTCGATCATAGTCTCCAAAATGACTGGGTTGAACTTGAAGCCATTACTAAGAACGATAACATCGTCTAGACGACCGTGATGCTTCCACAGTCGGGGATTATAGGGATGCTGTGTGAAGAGATCTTTGGTGTGATACTCTGTAAACGAGGGAAACGTATGACAGATGCCGTGATAATCGCGTGTGGGCGGGCGAGGAATGACCAACTCATAGATATCATCTCCGACGTGCTCCATAACTGCGCCGTAATTTGGGTTCCATTCGAGATACCCATAATCTTCGTCCTTCTCGGGGACTATGGAAGGAATGATACTTGTTTCGGTGGATCCCAGTGCTGTGATCAGTTTCGTGTATTTGCGGACCTTGTCTCCCGTTTCTGATGAGAGTGGTGCACCACCGAAGTAAACACTCTCCATTGTGCCTAATGTGAGGAGAGCTTCCTCGGATAAGGATACATCGTCAAGGATCGACGGGGGAAGTAGCGCCGTCGTTGGTCGACCCAATTTGATAAGGTCTGTTAAGAAGTCAACGGAAAGTGGCTTCTCTGGCCCGTAGAAAAAGGGCACAGAGTGGAAAATGGACTCGGTGAAAGCCAGGATTCCCATCATGTGGAAGAACGGAACTACACTGAGAACAAGGTTATCCGGGCTGAGATCAGAGAAGATAGTAAGCCTGCGACCGCCCGGACGAGGGAGATAGGCAATGGCATCCAAAGTGCTGAAGTAGCCATGAGTCAGGGGAATGGGCTTGGGCATTCCTGAGAAGTGAGCTTGATTGAGCTAAACTCGCTATTTGGAGAAGCAATCAATCATACCTGTTGATCCAGAACTGTGCACGACTAGAAAGACCTTATCCTCAGCCTCCTCGTAGGTTTGAGTGAAGGAGTAGAGGCGTAGGCCCTCTTCTCCTTTCAAGATAACATCCAGCGCTGGCAATTCAAAGGTATTTAGATCTGGACGAAGCTGCTTGAGTTCTGCTGCCTTGCGCTGCCGCTCCGCACTGTAAAAGAACCGGTTACACTTGGTCTCATCGAGCAAATACAATTGAGCTTCATCGGAGTTTTTGCTCGAGGGCAGCAATGGCTGTTTCAGGAAGGTCAGTATATAAGTTGAGAGCCCACCTGAGTCGGAACTATCCCACCTTGTAGCCAGTCTTATGACAAGCAATGATGAAGATAAAGTAGCGAATATCATTGGCACCCATGTATGCTATCGTTGACCCGTCAGGTGCATTTGTGCCAGCTTGTGCTTCTATCCACCAGCACAGGAAGTTGATTCCGCGGGCAAGATCCTTGATAGAGATTTCTTGCAGGCCATCTGATAGCTCCGAGCCCCTGGGCATCACACAGAATCGTCTTCCAGGATTACTCTCGGCGATGGCATCTATCTCGGTGGTCAAAAGCCGCTTGCGAAGAACTGTTCCATTGGGAGCCATGATGGTTGAATTTCTTTCTTTTATCGGTCTTTCCTATGTACTTCACGACACGAGATAGGAGCCGGGCATGGATTTACACAAGATTACTGCTGATACTGATGGGATGATCTTATAGTGAATAACGAGCCTCACTCCGCTTAGACCTAGATGCCGCGGCGGACACCGAAACAGTGTCCACCCACGCTTCTGTAGTCTATTAGTCCGTTCATTGGCCATAATACTCTGTATCCTTGACTCCATCATCTGGCGGATTGATGTCTGACGAAGACTCGATCCTTTGGCCCCCGAATCCTTCATCTGCTTTCGTTTTTAACGTAATCTACCGGGCTCTCCCGCTCGGTCGCTCCCACCGGAACCTTCGCTGTCTTCACCCTCCTGGTTGAAGTTAATCACTGGGTATCATTACAAGATACAAGACTCTAGCCACAGCAGACTATAGATACAGCTCTCCGACTAGCGATTTGGGGCACTCTTAGTAACGTTCTCATAATCTTATCGTCGCATTATACCATCTCATCTCAAACTCCTGCTTATGTCATTTCAGGCAGAGGCCAGCTATGCTAGCATAAAGGGACTAATTTGGTTTTTATCATCCATTACTATATCACATCTTGATGGTGTGGTCCTCCGGCTTTGGAATCTCCACCAGCCCTTTCCTCTCCTTGGTACGCCACTGGATGGCCTTGAGAAGGCCATACAATACCGTTAATGTCGGCATTGGGACCCCTCTGGCTTTGCCTTCCTTTAATGCCTCTCCCACAATGTTCTCATACTCACAGAACCGGCCATTGCGTATGTCCACCTGCATGCTGGGTGGATTGTACATGGTAATGGGATCCATCGTGATCATAAAGTCCACCAGCTCGGGTGGCAACTCATGTCCACATGCCTTGGCACCAGCGCGAATCTCCTCCATGGCCGGTCGGACCAGATTTTCAATGGCGCCGTCTGCCAGCTGAATCCGACCGGTGTCGAGATCCGTGACGGCACAGATGGTGTTCAAGCAGGCATTGTACAGCAGCTTCCGCCAGCGACTGAAGCCGACGTTGGGGTTAAACTGAGGATTGCACTTTCCACCTGCCCCATAGATCTCACAGTATTCTTTGGCGGCTGCGTCTTCTTCGTCGGGATTCAGGTTTGGATTGCGGAAGGCTCCCACGTAGAGTTCGTCATCGTCTTCGTGGACGATCTCTCCTATGGAGACCTGATGGGAGCCACAGAAGCTGACGCCCGAGAGGATGATATTTTCTGGGAAGGCCGCAATGAGGGGCTTTTCTATGTTCAGGCCATTCTGGACGAGAGCGATGCGTGTGTAACCCCGGGTGACGGCGGGGCGGATGATCTCTGCTACGGTCGGGGGCACATCGGCGTAGTTCTTGGTGGTGACGACGATGTACCTGTACGGGGGGAGATTTTCTTTCTCAACGTCTGGGATGGTGTTTCGTACTGTCAAGGCGACTGTCAGTGGGAATCTGCTGATGTGGAGTTGGATGGCTGCATACGGATTGACGGTCGGAAGCCCTTCACTTCGCCGTGATCGATCGACCTGATGGAGAAGCCGTGAGCTTTGACATGCTCGTAATTTGAACGCAGAACAGCAGTGACAATGGCTTTGCCTCCAAGTTCCAGGTTCAGCGCAGCGATAGTGCCGATGCCACCACAGCCAATTAGCAGGATGTTGGCTTTGTCTTGCATGGTGAGCAGGGGAGGGGGTGTAGATGTGGATGAGGGGGGAGGGCCAACCTTCTGTTATCGGGATATCGATAGGGATGTTATAAATGGTGAGAGGTAAATGGCAATGGAGTTAACCTGCCTGGTTGGAGGGATGATGCTATCACGGCTTATCGAGACTATCGAGACTATCAGCGATAATCTTAGCTTCAACTCCATCAACCCCGCTTGCCCGCCGCACCAAAAAGGCAGGCCATTCCGGCCTCACCTTCCCAGTGATCCTCCAGGCAACTCTTCTCGCTCGACATCTACCCCCTCACCTATTCACTACATACCCTATCGATTGCTTCTCATATCATTGCTTATCGATCTCCATGACATCAGGGGCCGTCGTCACTACCACTGAGGCCCCTGCTCGCTCTGGCAAGCCAACTGACACCCCAGTGCGCTCTCGTTCCTTGGGAGGATGCGAGACCTGTCGTCGGCGCCATGCTAAGTGTGATGAGACTCGGCCATCATGTCTCGTGTGTAAGCGTGCGGGGCTCGTCTGTGAGAGGTACGAGATCCGGCTGTTGTTCGATGCGAGCGACAGTCAGAGCTCACGATGTCGCCGTCCTCTGTTCACCGAGGATATGCGTCAGCGCATGAGTGAGCAGTTGACCGACAGCTTGGACTTGGATGATGTCCATACCATCCTGACCAAGATTGATGATCAATGCGAGGGCCAGGAGGGAGATACTAATTCCAGTTTTACTACCCGCATGGGTCCCTTTGGTGCCTTTCGGGTGGTTCGAGCTGAGATGGACCTTCCCGAATCCCCAATGGACCCAGTCGACGAGCCCCTTCCTCAGGTGGAAGACAACCCAGTAAATGCTGGGCTGGAAATGTCTTTGGATGATGCATTTAGCAATGATCCCCTCATGGAGTGTCTGTTTGGCCATGTGAACGTAGATGTTACTGCCGACTTGGATGCTCATGACTTCTTCGCCGCAACCCTACCTTCAGCCGAAAGTGAAGGAATTTCCCCACAATCCTTGTCAGGGGGCTTCCTTATGGGACCATCGCCATCAGTTCCTCTGCAAGCATCGTTATTATCGTCGCCGGAGATCCAATATGCTCCGTCCGTGACCAACCTGGCCCCGCCAGATGCCCCCTTATTGCTATCTGCATACACGAAGAATGTAACTCAGCTGTTCAGCCCAATACAGCTGGAAAAGAGCCCCTGGAGTATGCTCCATATGCCTCCCGCCATGGAGACCTTAACTTTGTTGACTATGGGAGAGCTGGCCAACAACACCAGGATGTCTATCTTCTATGCAATCCTGGCCACTTCGGCCTTCACCCAGCGTCTATCCTCGTTGACGCGCAGCGCAAGTCAATATTGGCAGAGACAGGCAGAGACCTTTGCCATCGAAGCCCAGAATTATCTCAAACGAGCGCTACATGATGCATCATCGAGCGCCAAAAAAGTCAAGTACAAAGACGTCCTTATCGCCTTGCTGTGCATGAACACGGTTTCGGTAAGCACAACAGCCGCAGCTGAGCAGAGCACAAGTCTCACCATGAACTTAGGCCTACCAAGGGAGCACAGAGCGGGTGCGACGATGTCTGTTAGACTGCGAAAATTGGGTCCGTTTTCGTGGCTTGCCTAAAACGCGGAAATCACGCAAAGTCCGCTTACTACACCATTGCTATGTCTATCTACGTATCTTCCAGGAGAGCACCTCCGTCCTCCCGGTGTCCCACGTAGAGATAGAATCCGACCATGCATCCCCCGATACTGTGCGCTCCATCGCCACGACTCGCTCGTTCCGGCTTCGGCAATGGGAAGGTCGTTTGGACCAGCGGATGAGTGAATTGAAGGAGCAGCACCAGGGGGAGAATGATTTGCACTTGGAAATTCCGGGCCGGTGGGACTCGACCATGTACCCGCAGGTCTTTGGTCTGCCAGAATCTCTACTATTCCTACTATCACAGGTAACGAGACTGGGCAATGAGCGAGACCTATCGGACTTGGGGAGCTATACGGGCGCGCTGGATTTTAGGCAGTTCTCCGCGCGGGCGCGGAGTCTGGAGCGATGCATTTCTACTTGGCGACCACCTTCTTTACCAGATGCAGATCCACAAAGCATCATCGCTCAGACAAACGCTACCGTTGTCCGCCTGATGCTCTCAGTCCTCCACAAAGCTCTTCTTATCTTCTTTTACCGTCGGATCTACGACGTGGACCCGATGATCCTTCAAGACAAAGCGTGGCAAGTCCGGGACGCCTTGGCTCAGGTAGAAAGAGACGATATGCCGGCGACTCGTATAGCTGCACCATTTATTTGGGCGGCGTTTATTGCCGCCTGTGAGGCTTTGGATCCTAGTTTGCAAGACTGGTTTGCAGGCTGGTTCGAGACGTCAGCCAGAAAGAGCGGGCTTGGGACCTTTAAGCTGGCGCTGAAAATAGCAAGGCAGGTCTGGGAGAGACAACGGCAGCCCCTGAATAGCAGCGCCAGCACCAGTTGGCCGCAGATTATGCGGGAAAGCAACCTGAGTTTGTTCTACATATAACGACGCATCATGAATTATCATTTCATTATCAGATACATCATACAATCATGTCCACCTCACAGCAAAGCATACTCACTGTAGAAACTGGTCGTTGCACAGCGCTCGCTCCATCTCATAATCCGGCTGGAACTCATGATACAACGCCTCCTGCTTTCATTAGCCATATCCTCTAACATAAAGTGTTCATTGCCACTTACCGGATCACTAGTCATCTTGAACGTAAAATCAGCTGCATCCGGCTCAATAAGCTTCTTCTCAAGTCCCTGAGCAGCAGCCGCATCCACCTGCAGCTGGATCTCGCAGCTTCGCTCAGCTAAAGTGAAAAGATAAGCCGCTTCATCAACCGTCTGTCCGACCGTAAGAAGACCATGGTTTCGCAGTATCAGCAACTTCCCCTTGTCACCCAGGTGTCTACCCAGACGCAGACTTTCCTCTTCCTCTAGCACTACGCCCCCAAACTCAGGATAGACGGCCTGCGCATCGCCATAAAACATAGTAACGTCCTGGTTGATCATATCCAATGGCTTGGCAAACGTCGACCACGCTTTACCGTATTTCGAGTGGGCATGGCACGCCGCGTTCACATGCGGATACATCTTGTGCAGGACGCCGTGGATCTGGAAGCCCGCGGCATTGGCTGGCCGTGATCGGTTGCCTCCGACGGGCTCGCCAGCATGGTTGAGTAGGATGAGATCGGATACTTTGACTAGGCCGAAATGGAGTCCAAGTCTGTGGGGGTTTTCAGCTGGTGTGACTGGGCCGATTTTGTGGGTGGGAAGCCATACGGATTCGTCCAGAAGCAGTCTGGATGCTCTGGATCACGCAAGGAGATGTGCCCGCTCATTCCTTCGGAGAAACCCTTGCGAGCGAATACTCTAAAGGCGCCGGCCATGTGCTCCAGCATCCATCGTCGTTTCTTGTCTGCGGAGGTAAAGGAAGGGATGCTTGGTAGGGTGGCTCCTTGTGAGATGGCCTGGATGGCTGATTTGCCGGTGATGTTCGATTCTGTGGGCTGTGGAGGCTCTTCTTTCTTCGCCGTGATGGTAGTAGTGGTTGAAGACATGGTGCTTCTTTGGGAGGTATTCAACGTGCAAGAGGCTACGAAGAGAGTCCGAGTCAGTGTTACAGTGTGAAATATATGAGTATGTCAGCATCCATTGATCTACATGCAGTTTCGATTTTTCAATCCCACGGTGTCCTGTGATTCAGTGAACAGTTGCCCGACTAGTTTGTGCCGCGGAGTTAGGGTATGCAAGGGTGAATGCAATAGGCAGGTCAAGAGACACGCCGCAGGGGAGACTTGCCTTGCTGGCCAACTGATAACCTCGGGCTAGCCCCGACGGTGGATCTGGCTGATACTGAATTAGAGATAGCTGCAGGCGAACCAGCAAGGCCTGATAGATACAACCCGCTGCTTCTCCGCATTGGTGCAGGTGACATTCGATAATCCAATGCCGGTGCTCAAGCCACAGTGACACTAATGGCCTCGTATCTCTCACTCTTTATCTGGTATCGGGATCTGCGGAGGCGAAGCTCAGTTCCCACGTAACCCCAGATTCTGTACATGCAGTGTCCTGCCAACTGATAAATGCCCTGTATACCCTCTGTACATAGCTGCAATTCCCCTAACCTTAATCCATTCAATCTATATCCCACTCCACTGTAGCAATTATGACCAAGTCTCCTGACGAAAAACCCCTCGAGGTGCTCGACCGCACGTCTTCCTGTGCTGAAGGTCAGATCGTCACCCACGATGCCCTCGTCACCCAGCGTGGCATCAAGTCCCGCCACGCCCAGATGATGGCCATCGGCGGCACCATAGGCACAGGTCTCTTTGTGGGAGTAGGAGAGGTGCTCGCGCTGGCCGGACCAGCCAACATCCTGCTCGCCTACGTCACCATCTGCATCATTGTCTACGCCATCATCACCGCCACCAACGAAATGAACACTTACCTCCCCTTCAGCGGCTGCTCAATGGCCGCCTACGGCACCCGCTTCGTATCTCCCAGCTTGGGCTTCGCCATGGGCCTCCTCTACTGGTACAGCTTCGGCATCCTCGTCGCCTACGAAACCACGGCCGCCGCCCTCGTCATCAACTACTGGTCCAACCCCGTCCCCCTGGCCGTCTGGATCACCCTCATGCTTATCGTCGTCCTCGCCCTGAACTTCTTCCCTGTAAAAGTCTACGGCGAGACCGAATTCTGGTTCGCCTCCCTCAAAGTCTTCCTCATCATCGGCCTCCTCATCCTCTCCTTCGTCCTCTTCCTCGGCGGCGGTCCCAACCACACCCGTCTAGGCTTCCACTACTGGAAATCCCCCGGCGCCTTCAACACCTACCTCGTTTCCGGCTCCACCGGCCGCTTCTGCGCCTTCCTCTACACTCTCTGCTACTCCGTCTTCTCCTTCAACTTCGCCCCGGAACTCCTCGTTGTCGCCGCAGGCGAAATGCAAAACCCCCGCAAGAACCTACCCCGCGCCGCGAAACAGTACTTCTATCGCCTTATCATCTTCTACATCCTCGGCGTCCTCGCCATCGGCGTCATCTGCCCCAGTAATGCCTCCGGCTTGACAAACGGCACCGGCGTCGCCGCCTCGCCCTGGGTCATCGCCATTAAACGCGCCGGTATTCATGGCCTCGACTCCGTCGTCAACGCCGTCATCATCACCTCCGCCTGGTCCTCCGCGAACTCCTACCTCTACATGTCCAGTCGGACACTATATTCCCTTGCGAGGGCAGGCAGTGCTCCGAAGATCTTCACCCGCTGCACCCGCCACGGCGTGCCCTACTATGCTGTGTTGTGCAGCTCGCTGTTCTCGTTGCTAGCGTATATGGACTGTAGTTCTGGCGCTAGCACGGCGTTTAATTGGTTCGTGAGTCTCACTAACACGGCGGGGTTTACGTCCTGGACGTGCTGTGGGATTATATTCTTGAGGTTCCGGGCGGCGTGTAATGCCCAGGGTTTGAAGGATCTTCCGTATCGATCGAGATTGCAGCCGTGGATGGGGATTATTGCGACGATGGCTTGCCCGATCTTGCTGCTGTGTAATGGATTTGAGGTCTTCTTTCATGGTCATTGGAGCGTGTCGTCGTTTTTGACTTCGTATGTTGGACTGTTTGTCTTTGTGGCAGTTTATGCTGGACATCGGGTGATGAGGTGGAGGGATGGGTGGTGGATTTCCGCTGAGAAGGTGGATTTGGTGAGTGGATTGGAGGAGGTGGAGGCTTTGGGGGTGGATGGGGATGATGACGGGGAGAAGAAAGGGTTTTGGAGGAGGTTGTGGGAGTAGTTTGTTATTTACTATGCATTTGATTGTTGTGTTTGTTGTATTCTCTATGAGGTTGTTTGTTCTATATATAGATAGTATTTATGTTGAGACTTACTCTAATATATTGATTATAGCTTCGCCAATAGCCCATTTGTCTCCAATATTGCCAAATGCTCCGGCGTGATATCTGCTATAGTTCGGCATCTGCATACATACATTCACATCATTAGTTTCTGCTATATGCACGTTGACGTGGTCACTTACCCAGCCAGCTTCATTGTGCGACAGAACTCATCGTAGAGGATCTTGACCGCTAGATCGACGCCTTTCTCGCCGTTATACTATATCGATTATCAATATCATGAACAAATGGGACAACTTGTGTGGAAGCTTACCGCCAATCCCCAGATCGGAATCCTCCCCACAAAACACATCGACGCTCCCAGCGCAATCGCCTTGAACACGTCTGCTCCCCGTCGGATCCCACCGTCCACTGCCAGGGGAATCTTCCCTTTTGCCACGGGCGCGCAGATGCGCAAAGCATCCAGTGTGGCGGGGACACCGTCGAGTTGGCGACCGCCGTGGTTGGAGATGATGACGCCGTCGATTTTGTGGTCGATGGCTAGCTGAATGTCTTCGGGGGAGTAGACTGTTCTCGTTAGTCTATACATACTAACGGAGTAGTGAGGAGGAAACACACCGCCCTTAAGCCAGATTTCGAGCTTCGTGTTCTGTCGTAGCCAGGCAATTGTCTTGTCCCAGCGAATAGTGCCATCTGTATATCCTGTTAATAGCCGATGCAGCAATGAAAATAAGGAAGATAGTACCATAGCCACGCTCATACGAGTCCTTCAACCCCATCTCATTAATTCCCTCCGCCAACACCGGAAACCGCATATCACTCGGGAAATTGAAGTTATTCCGAGACTCGTTCAATCTGTTCCCTAGCACGGGGAGATCCACGCTCACGAATAGTGCTTTGTAACCGGCCTCTTTACTTTCATCAGTAACCATAAACACTGTAATGGTCAAGTGATCACCCACTCTCAGCTTTCTGAATGATTCTCCTCGTAATCTCCACATCCTTGAAAAACGACACCTGCATGGCATACGGATTCCCCGTCCCCTGGGCAATCACATCGTCAATGCCTGTTGTTGCCCACGAGGACAAACACATGGGGATATCGTGCGCTGCAGCTGCACGGGACGTGCCCACTTCGCCATCTGCATGGGCGAGTTTGTGTGCGGCGGCGGGGGCAAAGCCCAGAGGGAATTTCACTTTCTTGCCGAAGATGGTGGTGCTGGTGTCGAGGACATCCACGTCGCGGAGAACGCGGGGGAGGAGTTTGTATCGGTTGTAGGCTGCTTCGTTGTCTTTTAGACTAAGCATTAGTCTGTTAGTATAGGTAAGGAATTGCGGTGAGTTGTGGGAATGAGTACGTGATGAGGTCGCCGGCGCCTTCGTTAAAGTAGTCTATATGCATGTCTTAGTATTAGCTGGGCTGCATAGATGGAGAGAGGTTGCTCACCGCGCACGACTGGAGGAAGCCTTTTCTGGGCCTCGATTGCCAGATCGGCGATGGTGAGGACTTTGGTGTCGTGTTCTTTGGGACGGTTGGCCATGTTTTTAATGTTAAAGTATGTACCCTGCACGGTGGTGATTGACAATACGGATAAGGTCTACGACTGGTATATATAATTTCCCGAATTCTCTACACAATGGTCCAAAGCATCGAGAAGGCACTTCCTCGGATTGAATATCCATCTTGTCTCGTGGTTGATATGCGATAAGATAGAGTTGCCTACAACTGGCAGTGAAGTGTAACTAATGCAGGCAAGTCACCCCGGCCCACTCCAAACAGGCAAGTCAACACTTCCCCGCACGATAAGATAACCAGCTTCATTCTTCGGACTTTGTCCTTGCCCTATATCTATTCCACCTCTTTACCACACAGAAACACTGGTTATCAGCTCCAATCTACTGACAATGGCTCCAGCACCTGTCCTGGCCACCTCCGCCTACTACGCCCCCGGCGTGGTGTCATCCGCCTCCAAATATCTCCATGTCTCGGGCCAACCAGGCACCATTGAAGGCACTGCCCCCGCCGACTACAATTCGCAGATCCATCTTGCCCTCGTGAATTTGCATCGTGTGCTAGCCGCCACCGGCGCTACACCCCGCGATGTAGTCAAACTCACCCTCTACATCGTCGACTATGACCCCAACAACCGTCTACACACTCGACCCCTGCAGACATGGCTAGCTGGCCACAAACCAGCCATTACTCTTGTTCCAGTACCTCAACTAGCAGTTCCGGACTGGAAATTCGAAATCGAAGCCACCGTCGCGGTGCCTGACTCCATTCCAGCTTCGCTCTCTCTTCCTTCCCCCACAGAAACGACTGATGTTCTCGTCATTGGCGCCGGCCTGTCTGGCCTCATGGCCGCCGAGACCACCCTCCAGTCCGGTCACTCGTGCATTGTGCTCGAAGGCCGCGACCGCGTGGGCGGCAAGACCTGGACTTGTCCACTGCCGAGTGGCACAGGAGTGGTTGATCTCGGCGCCGCCTGGATCAACGATACCAACCAGAGCATGATGTATGAGTTGGCGCGACGGGCAGGGGCCGATTTGATCGAGCAGAACACCACGGGCAACTGTCTTTTGCAGCGGGAGGACGGTGCCATTACTGCTTTTCCTTACGGGCAGACTCCATGCGTATGCCACCTTCCCTTCTACCTTATCACACACACATACTAACTGCAACTAGATAACCCCCCAAATTGTAAAAGAAATAGAAGCCATCCGCGACACCGCCGAGCAAGACTGCCAATCCTTTTCTACCAGTCGTCCCCAGAGTCCCGCTCTCGACTCTCTCTCTTTCCTCGCCTATCTGCATTCCCGCAACGCCAGCCCCATCGCCGCTGCCAACGCCTCCGTCTGGACTCGCGCCATGCTTGGACAGGAACCCCAGGACATCTCCGCCCTCTACTTTCTCAATTACTGCAAGTCCGGCGGCGGATTACTCCAGATGCGCTCGGATCGGAAACACGGCGCGCAGTATCTACGTGTGCGACAGGGAACGCAGATATTTGCGAAGACTTTGGCGGAATCTTTGCCTACGGATACAATTCGGTTCGGTCAGAGAGTGGTAGGGATCACGCAGGTGCAGAAAGGGGTGAATTACGTGCAGACGGAGAGTGGATTGGTGGTCAAGGCTCGGAAGGTGATTTGTTCTGTGCCGACACCTGTCCTCAAGACGATCAAGTTCGAGCCGCAACTACCTGCTGCCAAGCAGCTCCTGGTCGATTCTTTCAGATATGGCTACTACACTAAGGTGATGTTGTCGTTCCGTACAGCGTGGTGGGCGGATCGTGGGTTCTGTGGACTGGCACAGTCGTTTGTTGGTCCTGCATCGATTTATCGCGATACGAGTAGCCCAGAGGATGGGAAGTGGGTGCTAACGGCGTTTTTGGCGGGTGATGCTGGGAGGAACTGGTCTGCGTTGGGGAGTCAAAGGGAGCGTGAATTGGCGTTGTTGGAGCAGTTGGGGGCTATCTATGGCGATAAGGATCTGCCTAAGAGGGAGTTTGTCGAGGCTCTCGGTCATGAGTGGTCTACTGAGGAGCTCTCTGGCTGGGGCTGTCCTTGTCCGGCACTGCCGCCGGGCGTGTTGACGCTGGCTGGAGATGCTCTCCGAGAACCGTTTCGGGATGTGCATTTCGTGGGGACAGAGACGGCAGAGGAGTGGAAGGGTTATATGGAGGGTGCAGTGCGCAGTGGGAAGAGGGGGGCGGCGGAGGCTGTTAAGGGGCTGACGAGGAGTCAATTGTGATATCTATAGAGTAGGCATAGTAATAGCTATCTTCTAGAGAATTGAAATGTGAGTGGGCATGTTAATGACATCAGTTCTATAGCACGAGTGCCTCGGAATTTATTGCGAGACGCAAATACCAACCAATCAGGAAGTGTGTTGTAGAAGTGGAATTGACCACAGCCAAAACCTTTCAGCGTTATTGTTAACAACCAACTCTTCCAGTATCGGAATCTGCTTATGGGATGAAATAAGGATCTACATTCCAGTCTACATAGCCCCAAAACTAACGCGATGGGGGTCCAAAAAATGAGAAATGGCAGCTGTGATCCGCCGTACCCCGTGCCAAGCCTGACTCCATCCCCAAGTCGATTCTTAATGCTCATCCGCTCCGTTTGCAGCTTTCCAACCAACTTCACTCCCATTATCCTCTCAGCTTCTTATAAAAACACAACCCTCGCATCTGCGATGGCCCACCCTTCCACTCGCACTCGCTAGCCCTCCTCATGCCACGCCGCCGCCTTATCCTGGTCGCCGCCCTCCTCGCCCTCGGCCTCCTCTACACCCTCTCCTCCCACGGCGCATCCTCCCCCCCTCTCCAGATCATCCCAGATGACTGTCCCTCACGTCCCGACCTCGACAACATCCTAGTTGTTCTCAAAACCGGCGTCACCGAATCACGCACAAAAGTCCCCATCCATCTCTCCACCACCCTCCGCTGCATCCCCAACCACGTCCTCTTCTCCGACTACGTCGAACAGCTCTCCCCCACCCACTTCACCCACGATGTCCTCGCCTCCCTTTCACCTGCTCTCCTTAACCATAACCCTGAACTCGACCTCTACCGTCGCGTGCGCGCCGAAGGTCCTGCCGCCCTTACCCCCGCCGACTTGAACCCAGACGTCAACACCCCGATCGGCAAACCCAACAACCCCGGCTGGAAGCTCGACAAATGGAAGTTCCTCCCCATGCTGGACGAGGCTCTGCGCGTTAAGCCAGATGCTTCCTGGTATATCTTCCTCGAGGCGGATACCTACCTCGTCTGGGATAATTTCCTCCAGTGGCTTCGGCGCTTCGATCCCTCCAAGCCATGGTACCTCGGCAACCAGATGCAGATCGTGGATGCTATTTTCGCCCACGGCGGATCGGGCTTTGCGCTGTCGCGACCGGCGCTCGTGCAGGCCGTGAACCAACGCAAACGAACCAGCGATGGGTGGGAACGTGCCGTGGCGGAACATTGGGCTGGGGATTGCATGCTGGGGATTCTGCTGGAAAATGTCGGGGTTGACCTGACTTGGTCGTGGCCGATGCTGCAGATTGCCCCTCCGGAGGAAATGGATTACTTCTCCATAGGATATGCGAAGCGGCCGTGGTGTTATCCGGCCGTGTCATTTCATCATCTGGACGAGCAGGGCATCCGGCAGTTGGATGATCTGGAGAGGCAACTGGGGCCGCTGAAGACACCGTTGCTGTATCGCGATGTGTTCCTGAAGCTGGTCCGGCCGGAGCTGCGCGATGTGCGCACCGAGTGGGATAATCTGGTCGACGGGGACCCGGTGGCAGTGAGCAGCTTCGCGGCCTGTCGGGGCGTGTGTACACGCGAGGCCAAGTGTCTGCAGTATGCATATAATGCGACGGAGGGCGCATGTCGCACGTCCACGGTGCTGGCGCTGGGACATGCCCGGCCGGGATTATCGGCAGGATGGATGACCGAACGCATTGATGCGATGGCCGAGAGTCTGGGCGAGTGTCGCGAGATCAGCTGGATTGATTGATGCGTTGCATGGCCCCTTTTTCAAAGATTTCTTGTCATTCATAGTATCATACACATATAAACGTCTATACAACCAGCGTATACACATATTTTTAAAATCCCTGCACAGGAGTATACCCCTCGATCAACCTGGACTGACTCGACCCGCGAATCTTGAACTCCCTCGCCAACCCTGTCACCTGCAACCCAGCGAGTCTGCCCTCATCGAACCGGAACTGTCCAATGCGCACATCTCGGCCTCCATCCCAGTCACAATAAGTAAACACATGCACCGCATAATGTACCGTCACTCCGCCCGTCTCATTATCCATCTTCACTACCCCCGTCACACTATACACGAACCTCCCCACGGATAGGAACCAGTCCCAGCTCTGATCCGGCGTCGCGATGTACTCGTGCCAGAAACTCGTAAATGGCACGACGGGTGCCTCGTCCGGTCGGGTCATCATCAACGACTCGTAGGCGAGTTTTGCCTTGAATTTGGCTAGTTCGTGCACTTCGGTGCGGAATTGCGGCATTGCGGAAAGCATCTCGTCGACGGAGACGTGGGCATCGCGACCCGTGTTGCCGAGATAGTGTTTTAGATAGTCGGCGAAGTGTGTTTGGCCTTGGTTGTGGGCCGCGCGGGCGATGCTATACAGGGTGGTTTTGTCGACGTGGTCAGCGCCGCTGGCGAGTCGGGACTTCCATGGGTAGTAGGGGGATGTGGGCGGTTTGGCTGGGTCGGTGGGTGGTGGGGGGAGAGAGACGCCGTAGTGGGGGAGGGAGTGGGTGGTGATGCTGAATAGCATAAAAAGGAGAAGTAATAGTATTCGCATGTTGATTTATAGATTAGATTGTAAAAAGATAAAGATAGATAGATAGATGCAGGTATCACGACATCAAAGGGACGATGGTGCAAGCAGAATTTAAGAAGCACTGCTTAAACACTCCAAGCGTAGGCTAAGACTTTCAGTCATTCCGAACTTAAACTCGGAAAGGGTCCCTGCCCATTTGTTTCAAACCGATCGGCGTTTCCAGTGGAGTGTCTCGCCTGCCGTTGCGGCCTATCGCTGTCCCTGCTCAGCCTTATTTGATACCAGACCCTGCTTGGCACTGCTGATCTTGTCTGGTCTGAGATGGGTGTACGTGGATGGCAACGCCTTTTTTGTGTGCTCCGCTTGTCTGTCTGAAGGGTTTGCCGGGGCTGCTCAGGGTGTTCTTTGCCATCATGATGAGGATATGCAGGGTCAAACTCTGCTGCCATATTTGATGTCGTCTCAATGATTGAATTGTATGATGGACTGACTGATTGACTTCACTTCATGTCTGTGACCAGCCACCACGGCCTGGCCGGCCTGTTCCAGACTTTGGACAGTACCGCTCAGTTCACGGATCGTCCGTCCAGCCATCCACTCATTGTGCTTTGCCGACACGGCACACGGTCGCCATGCTTGGATCGAGCACTGCCACAGACATGTCAGCACTCAACTTGAACCATTCATCCCAGCAAAGAGGAGAAATAATTATAGAAACGCGGCTGAATTGGCCGAGATTTCCCCAGGTGAAATTGACAAAAGGATCAGAAGGAAGAAAGGGAGGGAATGCAATCAATTTTGACTTGAAACACCGGATAACTCCCACACGAACCCGTTCTTTCGTGAAGGTCCCCACCGCAGGGTCTTTCTTTCTCCGGACGGAACGACTTTGTTCGCGGTCATGCACCACCACTACTCATCTCCGATAAGTTCCTCCTGTGATCGCTAGCGATGTACGGAGAAACATGCACAGTGTTGATGGGAGGCACTGGTGGTCATAACTCGAGATGGTGACGTCTAGGACCTGCTTGGTGGTTAGAGTGGATACAAATGGTTGAGCGGGAAGAGGAACTTGCTCCTGTATGGAATGTATGACAACGTGGCAATCCAGGATGCGCAAAGATCTCTGGTCCGGAGTATGCGGAAATCATCAAGGTCGGTCAAGGTAAGGTTATATCGTGTATGGAATGTGGATTGAGGCATGCCTCGTGGATGCGGGTATTTTGGGCCCCATGTTGGGGGCGCAAATCTGAACAGCATTTTGATCCTGGCGGTCTCGGCGTCTAGTATCACTGCTGGTGAGAGTTATCCTGCTCAATTTGATCTGCCTGGAGTGCAAACCTCATCTTGCATAGAAGGGTGTTAACTGTCGGATAGAGCTGTCTGTATCAGATGGTATAGTTGAGTGATACAGGATGATCGTCACTGCTTGGCATGAATGCTGTGAACCTTCACACAAGTATCCCATCAGGGATGCCCGATCATTCGAAGTATCCCTGCGGACAGCAAACCACCATTCTCAATTAAAACTCGTCATACAGAAGGAGTGTCAGCAACAGCCATGATGGCTATACATACCATTATCTCATTAGCATATATACATCACTTCATCTCCTGCACTCAAGCAACCGGGATATACTCCCTGGCAGAAACAGCATCCGTCTTAGCCAGCACCTTGTTCCCCGCTCCCACAGCCTCGGCATAATACCTCACATCATTTGACCCCCGCTCATTTTTCAAGTACAGAGTCGTCTCAAAAGACTTCCGCGGCACGACCCCAAGAGACGTCGTATTACCCTTCTCAGACTGATAGAACCGCCATCCCTTCGTCTCCGTATCACCATTCCAAGAAACATACAGCCGGACAGTCTGCGATGCATCCACGTACGCAGCAATGGCTGGGACCTCCGTCGGTGTGCCCGTCCAATTAGCGAGGAACCCACGATAGCTCTCCGCCTCCTCAATGAAAGCATGATAAACAATCTTATTGTTGGCATCATACTCAGATACTGCGCCTGCCTGACCCCAATTCACAAAGATGTTGTCATTGGCCAGCAGCTGCGCGTTCCCTTGTGAAGCCGCCTGGATTCCATACGGGGCTGTCGCTTTGCGGAGAACAGTTGCGGTATCGTCAGTGTGGTCCAGTTCGACGACCAGTGCTCGCGATACATTGTTGACGGTGACTTCGCCATTGCCGGAGTTGTCGAAGAAGGAGATTATCTCTTTCGTTGGGGACTGGTAGTGCCACCGTGCGTGGTGCTGGTACCCAAAGGTGAAGTTGTGGTTGAAGGTGGAGTGCTTGCCTCCTAGCTCCCAGATAATGGAGCCGTCGGTGCCGTTGATCTTGAAGATGGTGCTGAAGTGTCGCGAGGAAAGAAGGTAATTACCATCTTTGTCTTTGTCGACGCTGTTCAGGTGGATGAAGTCCCATGTGGAGCTGGAGGAGAGACCGCTGTCGCTGGTTGATGAGCCGAGCGAAACCAGGCTGTCTGGGATGTGTAAGCGTGGCTTGAATGGGGGATGATATATGGGGAACGAACCTGCAGGGTCAACGTGGTCAAGAGCATTCCACTCAAAGACGAGCTCGCCGGTTTCTATGTCAAATTCTGCCTTGCATTAGAGCGACAAAGGTATTGACTACGGATGGAATGCTCACCCTGGAAAAGACCATCACCAATCCACTTCTGCGACGAGTTGCCGCCATAAGCCGACAGATTAGCCACGGTAGGGAGATAGACCTCCACCAGCGCAGTCTTCCCATCGATGACATTGAACTCGTGGATGGAAGGAATGCGATGATTCCCCGCCTTCGCAGTCACGACATGCTCATAGTTCTGGTTCAATATGACCTGCTGCCCGAACCCTTCACCGTGCGACGTGTCCATTGTCCCCTGGAATCCTTGCAGGACGGTTTGACCCTGGTATGTCGTGGTGTGGAAGTTAGCGACGAACCCTGCATAGTACCCGATGCCAGACCAGATCAGGTCGCCATTCTTGCGGTAGATGTATGCGCCGCTTTGCTGGATATCGTCTGAGTATGGCGCGAGAAAGACATACTCCGTGCCGTTGGCATCAGGAGCCGGAATGGTGATGTTCAGCTTGGGAGGGGAGAGGTCTGGTCGCGAGCGATATTGCCCGTCTGCTATGGTAAGAGGGGAGAGAGCTGCCAACAGCAGGCTATATTTGGTTAGAGGGATCATCTCGTTACTAATATGCTTCGCAAAGCTCTTGTCCTGCTTCCGAACACTGCTCCATTTTCACAGCTGAGCCTGCCCTTTTATGCGACGATTTCCATCACACCATCTGATGGTGTCGAGGCCAAGGTTGAACAATTCCTAACCGGCACCATGATAACACCATCGGTGGACACTTTGCACTCATCATCAATATCGCTTAAGCTGCAACTAGATACTAGCTCTTCGGCAGAAAGAGAGCTGCTATTCGGCTTTTACCTCCATATCGGGTACTTGGTGGGGGATTTATTGTGCCATTGATCTTCGCGATGACGCGAGCGCGGCTGCTGATGACTACATCGACAGGTACAAGCGAGGTCAACACATCTCTTCCGAAGGTTATGTGTGGGAAGCAGTACATCCAGACCCCATTTTTTAAGAAAAGGAAACAGATACTGTGTCGTGGTTTGTTAGACATGCAGTGATTCATAGGAAGATGGCATCCAACCTGTCTGGCTAATCCCACTCCTATACTGTTTGTTATCTTATCAAGATCGCCTGTACCGATCTCATGACGGACTGAACCACGGACAGGTTTCTGCACCATTCCTGTTCCTGCAATATCGCGTCATCTCATTTCGGCAGATATTCGCAAGCGAAGGAGGGCGCTAACTGCGAACAAGTGACAGCAGAGCAGCCGAGCATGTGGAATGAATGGAAGGGACTACCACTTCCATTTCTGACAGTAGTAGACATCTGATCTCGACCTAGGTATAGCTGGAAATCCTCCTTTCCTTTCCTCATACGATATTATCACGATATGGTACTTTGGCTCGTGCTGATATAATATATCCTGATATAAGCTGCACTAATTACTGGGATTGATACAGAGCATATGTGCCATTTGTAAACTCAATGCTTACTAACCTTCCAGATTAATTCTAACAGCATGTCAGAATAAAGAGCAGCTGACAAATTCACCATATCTATTATTTTTAATGAACAATTGATGCAGGTCCTAATATCGTAGAAGTATATCCCATCAATCATTGATTATTATGTGGTCCCACAATGATGATCCATATCCTTTGAAAATTCAGTTGAAAGACACCATGATTTGACTTCAATACTAACCTCCATATATATATTTTATGGCCCTATATCCCTATCTTCAGCCCCGGATGATTAAAGGCCCCGAGCACAACTGTGGTGACGAGATCCTAGTTCAAAGAATACCACTCAGCTATACTACAACTGACAGGAGCTTAATATACTAGTAGATGCTAGGTTTAGTGTGCCAACTGGTGTGGAAGGTATTCGTTGCGTTGGAATTATACGTTCTTACGTAGGGTACACATATATTTACATAAAACGTTATGCTCGAAATAAGTAGGATAGATGACCCGTATTGTTCTCGATCCAATGGCTTCTCGGCGTGGGGTATTAGCCTAAGATCTGGCTATAATGATACACCATGTCCACGAGGAAAGCTACCCGCACTCAACGACAGAAAATAGTATATATCACATCGCAAGGAGAACATATCCCGCTTTATCAACCACAGCTTAAATTACTGACGACCCCGGACTTGCTGTGTCGTCATAATAATTACAGTGCTCAAAATCTACCAAATCTAGATTTATCCCAAATGACTCCGTCAGAAATGCCAAGCGCACTACCATCGTTAGTTCAGTGCAAAGTCGTCGGGATCCGCCGACGCGTATATTATCTGTCTCCGACATCGGAGACCTATCCTCATAACCATCCTAACCAAAATTAAGTAGTAATTATGTCACAGTCACTCATTTCTCGTTAACAAGCAAGTAAATAAGCAAGCATCAATAAGCGTAACGGTACGTCGGCGACATATCGCCCAGCAATTCTTCGTCTTCCTCTGTGAGGGTGGACGGATCGATGCGACCCTCGGCGATCGCTCGGTCGCGTTTCCGGTTGTCGTTCCACACCGCTAAGAAGTACAGAATCGACATGGCGGCGGAAAAGGCCAGGAAGGATACGCCGATGCTGTATCCGGGCCGGTAGAAGGGGGCGTCTTTCGAGAGGAAGGAGTAGGTGGAGATGATTCCGCCAACTGTGATGTGAAAGGGTTGGTTAGTGGTCGGTCAGGCCTGCGCATAAGGACCGTGCTTACTGTTGCCAAAACCAATCTGCCACGCCGTTCCTATACTGCGTCGACGATGTCCACCGAGGTTCATCGCGAACCAGCAGACTAACACTGGCATCGCGCTGTAGCAGCCGCTAGTCACCAGGAATAGCGCGCCGTACTGGACATGGTATTGTGCGGTGTCGTGGATGTTGAGCAAGATGCCAAATCCGGCCATGGCCACGAGCATTGGGATGAGGGTGAATAGGAAGCGATGGCGGAATTTATCAGAGAGGTATGCGATGAGCATGGAGAATCCGAACGAGGCGGCCCAGGGTGGGATGGAGTAGAGCTGGGTTTTGACGGCTGAGAGGAAGTTAGCAACTGCACCGTTATCTGGTCTCTGAGGGTAGGAACATACAACTGTAGCCGTAGGTCTGGATAATAGTCGGCGCAAAGTAGGCGTAGCCATAAGCTGTAACCACCTGCCCAAAGTACATCAAGCCACCGATAAATATCTTGTCTGCACACGAAACCATTAGCGTTGTATCGCCGTCGCAGCCACGGATAACCTACAGTCCTTGAAGACAGCGGCAATATCACGCCAGCTCATGCTGACATCGACAGCCGACTTTCCAACGTCCTTCGCCAGCTTGTCGCGCAGGAATGCGCGCTCCTCCTCCGTCAGCCACTTAGCATCCTCGGGGAAGTCAGGAACCACAAAGAAACAGCCAATGGCCACCACGCAGGTCAGAACACCCTCGATGATAAACACCCATCGCCATCCACTGTATCCCCGGAGGCCGTTCATCTGTCCCAATCCGTAGGCGAGCAAGCCACCAAAGGCACCGGCCAGAGTCGTCGAGCTGAAGAAGAAACTGAAGCGCTTCTGAGCTTCACTGCGCTTATACCACATACCCAGCAGGTAGAAGCCTATCAAGTCAGTATGCGACTATGGAAACGTGTTGAATCTCACGTACAGCCAGGAAACAAGCCCGTCTCAAACATGCCCAGGAACCAGCGCGTTGTCATCAATCCTCCCCAATTCTGCACCAAGCCCTGGCAGACCATGACCAGGCCGAAGCCAAACATACACAGCGACACTAGACGCTCGTCAGTGTGGCCCTAAACATCGCAGCGCAATACGTACACCATATGTGCGGCTTCAACTTCTTCATCAACACATTGGATGGGATTTCGAAGATGATGTAGGGGACGAAGAAGATGGTAAGGGCAGTATTATACTTGGTGCCGGTCTCGATATTCAAGTCGGATTTGAGACCCAGAATGGCTGCGTTACTGACATTGACGCTGCGCAATCCATGAGCTTCACACGTTTCAATGTCATAGTTCCAGTTTAAATGAAATTATTCGTACCGATCCAAAAATGCGAGCAGGTACATGACACAAAGACACGGCACCACATGCCAGTCAATCTTGGCCATCAATTTGCGCTCGTTGACAGTGGCGTATTGCGACGGTACTGGCGAGGACTCGCCATTGTCAGCCACTGGCTGTTTCTCTGCAGTCGAGTTAGTCAAATCTGGGACACTCGAGCGCCGATCAAGTTGCAGCGCAAAGAATAATTCCGGTCGCGATCGGACGTACCGTCAACGGTCATTCTCTATCGCGCGATCGCAAGAACGATCGCAAAACGCAACCAAAAAGGACGAAAGAAAAGCAGCTTCGGAGAAAACGCAAACATAATGGCAGAGACAGCGCGCGTGGCTGCAGCGGACTTTTAAACGAGAGCTGAAGGCGGGGGAAGCTAGATCGGCCAAGCTGAACCAGGAACGATGATGACTCCTTTGATTGCCAAAAAATGCGCCAATCCGAGCAGCCAGTGGAGACCAGCTGGGATGGGTGAACCAACCATCCATGGCCGATCTGGAGCTGGCCACTGCGCTATCGCAGTCTACGCAGGTTTGGGTTGTGACGATCGAGTCATACTGATTTTTTTTTCACTTGGTCGGCTGTCTTTCTTACTCTTTCTGTGTTGTCTTGTCGCTCTCTTCCCTCGGCTATGACTTGAAGGATGAGGCTTGGCACCGATGTCGGGATACTACCTGGAGTCTTATGACTGGTACTTAGCTCGTAAATTACTTAGCTATGTGCATCCTGATGATTGCCTATCAGCAATTCAACCTCGGAGGAAAGGCGACCCTGTCGGCAATTGGTAAATACTTGTCGACCGCACAAAAGAGGCAAGGGGGTCCTTGAACATCACTTGCCCGATTGGGAACCGGTCGGTGATTCAGCTGCAGCGATCTGGAGTTCAAGCTTCACGACGGCCCCTCTGTTTCCTTTCCTGCAGAGTTTCTGCTTCTGTGGGTTGGCCCACTCAAGAGATAATGACTGTGTCAGAGACAGAAGAAAACTTGTCTCCCGAATCAGAGTGCCATGATGGTTGTGGGCAACCTCTCAATCCACACCGGATCTGAATCGGAGGATCTGCGATGCTTGCCAGAAGAGAAAAGGTTGGTAATATGGGGAAGCGGGTCTTAGGAATCGTCAACAAGTTTAAGATCCAATGAGCGCCAGTCTGATTTGCCATGTCCGCGGTACTTGCCCCAACCAATAATGTGTCTGCATGTTCTCTACACATATAGGCATAGATTATATAAGTCAAGTCATTAGGATTCAAGCAACGCTGCATTATACTTATCTAGTAACTAGTCAATTGCCAATAAATACAACAGAAAGCACATTCTTAGACATCATCATGACTGATCTCCCAATCCCAGCAGCGTTACCCTCCACTTCTGCTCAGGTAACACTTGTCCCCTTGTGTCATCACGCACTCAACTCCCTTTTTAATAACTGCCGTAAGAAGCGTACTGGCCATAGTTACCGTAGTTACCGTAGTTTCCATATCCCGCCGCGGCAGTAGTAGTCGTGCTCGCAGCAGAGGTGGTCGAGGACTCAGCGTCCTGGTCGGGTTGGGGCTCACCATCCCTCTTGTACGAGCCGTAGCTGGCGTACTTGCCATAGTTGCCGTAGTTTCCATAGTTGCCATAGTTCGCGGCAGTCGTGGTCGCGGACTCGGTCGAGGTCGTTGCAGAAGCAGTGCTGCTCACCTCGGGCTCCTCGTCACGCTTGTACGCCTCGTAGCTGCCGTAGTTTCCATAGTTGCCGTAGTTGCCATAGTCGCCGTAGCTGGCCGGCGCAGTGGTCGTAGGGACCGCAGTGGTAGTGGTGGAGCTAGGATCGGGCTCCTCGCCACGCTTGTAGGCCTCGTAACTACCATAGTTGCCGTAGTTGCCATAGTTCCCATAATCGCCGTAGCTGGCAGGGGCGGTAGTAGTAGGAGCCGCAGTAGAGGTGCTAGAGCTAGGGTCTGGCTCTTCGCCACGCTTGTAGGCCTCGTAGCTGCCATAGTTTCCGTAGTTACCATAGTTGCCGTAGTCGCCGTAGCTGGCCGGGGCTGTGGTGGTAGGGATAGTGGTGGTGGTGGTGCTCAGGCTGGGATCGGGCTCATCACCCCGCTTGTAATTTTGGTAGCTACCATAGGTGCCGTAGTCTCCGTAGTTGCCATAGTTGCCATATCCCGCGGCAGTGGTGGACGTGGCAGAGGCAGTCGACGACACGCTGCTGGTTGTCTCATCTGCCTGGGGCTCATCATCTCTCTTGTAGGCTTGGTAGTTGCCATAGCTGCCATAGTTGCCGTAATCTCCGTAGCTCACAGGAGTCTCGGTGGCCGTGGCAGTGGAAGTCTCGGTGGCCACAGGACGGGCAGTGGCAGCTAGCAGATGGCTGCTCAGCACCAGGAGAAGGCCCTTGGAAACGGAATGCATCATGTACAAGGGGATAAAGAAGTACGATTAAAGTTTAAGAGAGGGGAGGGTGATGTTCTGGAATATCTTGGGATTTGCATGAGATCGGGGATAGATGCGGCCATATTTATAACTTCTTCATCTCCCTGCTTTACCCCCCCGGCATCCATATTTAGCAGAATGCCAATATCTCTCATCGTGGAGTAAGCGTCCTGCCATGGCGTGCCGGCATGATTGGCCAAGTCTCGGATTGTGCCATCTTTCGAAGCTCTATCTCGAGAGTAGCCGAGGACTAGCTTTCAGTCCAATCACGGCGACACCCTGAGATGACCAAGTGGCGCTGCGGATGCCAGTGTTACACTCATATGCCTCACGGACAGGCAACCCTCATTGCGAGCCCGCGCATCCACTTCCCTCTCCGGGATAAGAGGGGGCTTGGAAGTTGACCTAGATCGCGGCGATGACCCATCGTGATCCGCCACCAGGCGACCAATATAGGGTGTTAATAATAGCGTGCAGATGGGTTTAATGACGGTGAATCCAGGTTTAATCTCGGGAGTAAGGCATCTTTGCGTCATGTCTCAGTTGGACGAAAGTAAGAAGTAGAGCTGTAAGGCGGGCAGTGAGCTCGTATTGAGGATCTCCAGCGACCCATCCACTGCAGAAACCCTCATTGGGCGGCCGAATGAGACAGCGTCTGCGGCCAAGCGGAGGGTGTCTTACTTGGAACAAATAACATCACCGCCAGGATGAGCCTCTCCGCATCTGCACGAGCCTGGTTGTCTCACCAACCACTCGGATGAGTGTTACACCCGTCACTTGGTCCTCCCAACGGCGGGTTTGGCTTCGGGAGGATATTATTAGCATCGGACCTGGCGGAGGCATGGATGGGCCCATTGGTCATGCTCCATGGGCAACCGAGAATAAACACTCGCGCTGCGCTCTTTTTGCCCGCAGAAGAAGGCTTGTGAAGTTGTTACTCATTCTTTTTCTTTCGAAAAAGAGTCGTTCCTTCACATCATGGATTCTGTGCGCAACACCAACTCTTTTGACGACAAGATACACACCTCGGAGCGGTCTGATTCGACCGATCGCGAGAGACTTCTTGTCGATGAAGAAGATGCTCACTGGTCCGGGAAGAAGAGTGTGCGATCAGGGCCTGGAAGATGGTTAAACATCATTTTCGTCGTTGTCATTGCGGTAGTGTCATGCTTGGTCGGTATCTTCATCGGCCACAACCAAGGGGACTCGGACAAGGCATGCACGCGACGCATCACTCAGCACTGTACGTCCTGACTTCAAGACAGTCCTCGAGCGTTAGACATCGAGGAAATCAGAACGTTGAGCTAACGCGACCGTAGCACCCGTGGTATCCCATGTCGGGCTCAACTATCACAAACAACAGTTCAACGGGTCACTTCTCAAAGAAAACATCTTCCGACAAGATGCCAGCCCGGAAGTGGATGCAGCATGGGAGTCTCTCGGTGCCAACTGTTGGTTTCCTTTCACATTCTGGAAGTGAGTAGTGAGTGGAGTTGGCTGATCGTAGTCCAGACCGATCCATCCGCGTTCCTGCCGAAGAAGCCGAGAAATCAGGCCTCGCTCCCGACCAGGTTAAGATCAACGAGAAGTACGGAGGTGGATATCCTGCCAATGTGGAAGGATTTCACCACCTGCACTGCTTGGTATGTTAGACAGGATGGAGGAGGAAATAAACTGTGCGACTAACATGTTGCAGAATCTCCTGCGCCAATCCCTTTACTACAACTACGACTACTATCATGATCTGGGCAAGGGTGCCTTCACCAACAATGACTACGTTGTCCGTCGCCACGTCAGTACGTATTCCAAAGTACCAAGATTTTCTCCTTCGTCTCAATACTAATCTAGACAGCCCATTGCCTCGATATCATCCGCCAGCAGCTGATGTGCACCGTGGACGTGGGTGTCCTAGGCCAAGTCTGGGTCCACCCCGACCACCCTGAGCCCTTTGTCGACTTTAACACTGAGCATAAGTGCCGCAACTTTGAAGAGATCCGCGAATGGGCGCAGCGAAACCAGCTTCCAGAGACGGTCCCTAATGACTTCCTTCAACCCCCAAAGATCGGAGATAGAGTGTATGAAGAAATCCCTTGATAGTTTCTGCTGGCTGTATATAGAATGTACATATAAATGTCTTGATGTCAATGAAAAAGAACGTGAACTTTTTCCTACTGTAAGCAAAACTTGTGAAACGTTGGGCTGGAAACTCCAACCATTCAACACTCCCGTGATACAGCATCTGGGACAAGCGGACCATGGGCCTTGGGAAGCCTAATGGATTCAGGTTGCAGAGGACTGAGTCAGAAACCCAATGTGATGAACTGAGCTTAGTGATATCCTGAATGTAGGATTGGACGGGAGATGGTAGTCCTGGAATTGTTTAGTAGATTCCACCCGGGACTGGACCATCAACTAATGCAGTAGGGACGTGGCATAATGTATTACAAGTAATTGCACTTTCTAGAAGAGTCCGGGTCTCCCATGATTCATACCAAATCCGGTCGTCCTGAATGGCACCAGTCGTAGTGTGGTTCGACTGGTCGGATAGGGCTGATCAAGGTTACGTTGATCCGCCATAGTCCCATGGATGGCGCCTGGCAGAGCAGGATCCAGGAGGCAGAACATGTTGATGTTGCATTCTGATATTTTTGAAAGATGACTCGTGCAGCAGCATCTAATCTCTTCAACAGTACTGGATGTAAATCAAAAGCAATGTCGATAAGTAGGTTCTACATGTGCGTCTGAATCACGACTAGAAGCATTCTAGAAGGAACGGCTCTGCTGCAGGGCTGCCCAAGCATCTCACAATGTCGAGGATCGTCGGCTCCTGCCCCGCATGGATAAAATGTTATCTGCAACGGACTTCTCTTCACGGATGCCATGCTTTCTTTGTCGGCAACTCCGTTGGTACGTCAACTGGAGTTCTACCATAAGAGTTTGATTACTCCAGTCGGTCAGAATCATGAGTCCTGCTATCCCTGTTATTGATCTTCGCCAGTAGGTAGGCAGAGCGAACTGTCTGAAAATCATTGACTAATCACCCCCGTAGCCTTTTTTACAAAGGCAGCCGTGAAGACCGACAGCGCTTGACGGATGAGATCCGTCACGCTTGTGAAGACCTTGGATTTTTCCAGCTTCGCAATTATACCATCCCAGGTGAACTTCAAACAGCCATTCTAGAGTAGTCCAAAGACTTCTTCTGCCTACCGGTGGAGATCAAAGAGAAATACGATAGGGGTAAGCTTGCAAGCAACATCCACACTGGTTCCCACTATTTAAGCTCCTAGACAAAGACAGCTTCAACCGCGGCTACGAACGCTTTCGGGCCCAAAAGTTAGAGAAGAAAACCACAGGCGACCTGAAGGAGGGATTCTTTCTCGGTCGACATCTGCCACTAGATGACCCCGACGTCGAAGCCGGCAAATTCGGCCAGGGACCCAACAACTATCCTGCTATAGGGACAGACCCGCAGCTCTTCCGAGACACGGGTGGATCGCTACTATGGAGCCGTTCTGAGTCTCACAATCGACCTCATGACTGTCATTGCGGAAATAGTGGGCCTTGACTCAGATGCTCTGCGCCGGTTCTGTACCAAGCCCATTGCTACGCTTCACTTGCTTCACTACCCCCCTCAAGCACCCGATGCATCGGAGCTGGAAAGAGGTGTGCATTACCAATCCTCCCGCATTCGGCTCCCAACCACTAATGAGCTAACCTTACTGGCAGGCATCGGGGCTCACAGCGACTTTGGTGCCATCACTATCCTCTTGCAGGACGCCGTCGGGGGGTCTACAGGTTTAGGACCGGACATCGAATGAGTGGGTGGATGTCGTGCCTGTGCCCGGCGCTATTGTGGTAAATACGGGCAATATGATGATGCGCTGGACAAACGATCGGTATATCTCCAACTTACATCGAGTTATCAACACATCGGGAACTGTACGCTACAGCGTTCCGTTTTTTTCTTTGACAGAAATGCAGATTTCCTGGTTGAGTGCCTAGAAAGTTGCCTGGAGCCAGGCAAAGAGCCCAAATACAGCTCAGTCACTGTGCATGACTGGATAGTTGGTCGCTATGCGGATACCTTTGGGGGTGGCGAGGTGAAGGGCGAAAAGGACCTTGTGAGTTTGGAGTAACAACAGCACCAGGATACAAACGATGGAGGCAAAGTTACCATAGCTATGTTGCACAGTTCATTCAATTAACCGTGGAGAAGCATGAAAATCTTAAGTCTCAACTCTCCCATAGCATGGATGGTCACATATCCAAATTGTTGGGTACCAGGGAAGTCAGGCGCGGCCCGAGCAAAGCACATCTGACTCTTAAGGATTTAGAAGGAGGCATGTAGAATTCAGAAGATCCAGGGGTACTATAGAAGTATCAGGGATATATTTGCCTTTAGTAGCTAGCTGTGGAATGGCATGGCGGGCCTATGTTAGAACCGGCTATATCGGGGGGTGAAATATCCGTCTATCCAGCAGAAGAGATTTGATAGCTAGAAATCCAGTAAGATTAGGTAATCATCGTAGTTTTTGTCGACAGGACCCAATGCACGCACTGGGCAATCCCGACCGTTGTAAGAGAGACATGAATCGTGTCGTCAAGCATTGCTGAGTGGGTTCAGAATGCATTGTTCTGTGTAACGTGGTCGGTGGAGGGCCCAAGAGCACCGGCTGCACGGATTTGGTAAGTATCGAGGTCGTAGATGTCACCAGAATCCCCAATATCCCAACCATCGCAAGAACCGACCGCAAGGATTTGGGGGAATTGGCCCAGTACCTGCCTGGGGCCCCTTGGAAAGCCCCGGGATTTAAGTTGGCAGTCGGGATATGGAGTGCAAGCAATGGATCGACTCGAAACGTCATGCTGCAAGTGCGGGCTCCACCCGAACCACACTGAAAATGAATCCGGATTGCTCTTGCGGGTTACCATCGGCTCAGGGTCGCTTCTGACAGGCGCGTTTGTCTTCCGGGCCAATTGATCCTACGTCAACATGTCGCCCCAGAGTCTGAGCTCGACCACATTTCTATATTCATTTATCTGTCCCCCAGTGAATCCGGTTTGGGGCGGATATCTTCCGTCCCCCGTTCCACCCCATCAACCACGTTTCTCCCAATGTGTGTGCTTACACCTCTGCCGGATATATCATCCCTACAGCCCGACTTGCGCGTTCGTCTGCGATTTCCACTTTGTGTGGCGCCGTGTGGTCGATCAAGAAAGCACCGTTGATTAACCTTATCGAGCCGAAGCCCAGTGCTATGATTTAACGGACGGTCTGACTCCCTCCAATCATCGTGCGTAAATCGCAACACTGGTGTGCCTTGCAAAGCACCCTGGTTGGCAATATCGTATAAATAACAGCCGTGGCCACCATCCACTGTGCAACATCCTAGTGGCTTATTTTGTATTTGCACACTGTCTCAATTGTGCATCAATTATACAATTCACCACTGCTTCGCTCCTCAATCCTTCCCCCGAACATCTCAATGGCTGATGTAAGAATGTCTGCCGATTTGAACCTCTACGGCCCCCTCTCGGGACCCCCCTCCACCACTGAAGAGACCTGGCCCGGCGGGCTTCCTTTCTATCTCGACAATACCATTCCTCAGGACTGTCTTTCTCTTCCTCTGTTCGACGATAACAACTCATGGATGCTCAATTCCTTCGAGCCGCCGCCCGTGTCTTGGGCGACTGGACCCGCTCTCCGAACCAACTCCACCGCTAGCTCCGAAGCCAGCTTCATCGCGCCCTGCCAGACCGTACACAATCCTACCACTACCAGTGATTACGAGCAAAAATGCTCCCCGATGCAGAATACCATTCCGCAATTCGCACCGGCACAGATGCCTCCAGCTCCTATGCATGAAATCACCTCGCGAGGTAGCATCACGAGCGTTAGCAGCGGTGGCAGTGCCGACAGCAACCAATCCCGGTTCAGTATTTCCAGCTACAGCAGCAGTAACGAGAGCCCGACATATAGCCGTCGAGGCAGCTCCAATCGGCCTCCCTCTCCGGGATTTGAAGTGAACGAGCGCGAACGACGGAAACGGGAGCGCTTCCTCGAGCGCAACCGCGTGGCTGCCAACAAATGTCGCAAGAAGAAGAAGGAGCATGCCAAGCAGCTGGAGAGTCGCTGCGAGACAGTTTCACGGGAGAATACGCTCCTGGAAAGCCAAGTGGATCACCTGCGGGGCGAAATCTTGAACCTTAAGAATGAGCTGCTGCGACATTCCCACTGCGGGGATGAGAGGATTAAGTGCCATTTGGCGAAAATGGTGAAGCAGCTTTCTGATAAAGCTGGCACGACAACTCAGAGTCCGGAGAAGAAGACAGAGTCATTACCTCCGACGGAGAGTCCCAAGCAGGAGCAGGATATGGCAATGGATCTGGAAGATCTGGTGCAGCTGCCGGCTGCCGCGGATGGCCTAGTGGCAGAGGGGCAAAAAGATACCGAGTGAAGGTCTAATTCAAGCGCTCATCGACAGGCCTGTACATGGTGGTCTGCGATGATTCGATTAATGTCTTATGATGAGGCGTTGTGGATGATTTTGTTTTATTATTTCCCCCTCTGCGTCCCTATCTTTTAACCCTTTCTAATGTCTTTTATCTCTTCCCTTCCCTTCCTCTATTTTACCTCTCTACCTTTCTCTCTTCGGGACCCTCTCAAACTTACATATATGTACGGCAGTGGAAAAGTACTGTATTCGAGCTAGATGATAGATACGATTGATGATGGTGGTAGCTAGCAAGCATGCTTGACGATGTTCCTGGGTTTAATGTGGCGAGCGGGTTTTGACGGGGCGCAAAAGTAAACTTCACTCCAATACTTCGATCACATCATGCTTGCATGTAGTTCGTTAGTTCGTTGTGGATTAATTGATTCCAATAAATCCATTGTCGTCATGATCTTCAATAACGACCAATAGTATTAGTCACAGGGCCACCACTTACTCAATTGACCCCGGATGATATTCGCCATCCAATATGTACAACTCCAGTACCTACAAATTGACTACTACTTGTACGATGATGCTAAAATCGATCCTAATTAGCAATGCAATAGTAATTCAAGTAGTCAATTCCACACTACACACAATTTCAATCCATACTCAAAACTAAAAATACATTCGATTCATATCACATAACATGCTATTCCCCAATAGAGCTGGTCACAATGTAAGCCTTTAGTTTACTCCTCCGGCATATCCTCCGCAGTCCTGGATCCTCCCTTCCGACCAGCCTCTCTAGCCCGGGGATCTCCAGGCTCGAAGCTCCCTCCAGATGCCATTCCACCCTTGTGGCCGGCTTCCCGGGCCCGTTCTTCGCCGGGCTGGAAGCTACCACTGGAGGCTTGGCCGCCCATGGAGGCGATGTTGCGCTGTTCACTTCGATTAGGACTTCATTATGTAGATGGAGTGAAAAGGGGATGAATGTACCTGCTTATCCTCGTCCATGGAGGCGAATCCGCCCGAGTGGCTGGACTGGCCACCCTTGCGGGCGATGTCTTCGACTTCTTCCTGGGGGCGGTTGGCGAAGTTGCCGGGGTTGGGGTTGGAGGCCATTTCGATGGTTGTGTTGGTGATGTGTGGAATGTAGTTTATGCTGTTAATTGCTTGAGATAGATGCTTGTTGGTTAAGATGGGAGAGTAAGTTCACAGGGTTATGGTAGGCTATTTGTAGGTCTGTCGGACTCTGGATAATGATGCTTGTGTCTAACTATAGATATTACAATGACTTCTCACTGATGTCAATGTCGATGCAGTAACCATGACCGTGATCGTAATAAACATGGTATCGTCAGCCTTGTTTCATGTTTTGGTGAATTCTCCAGGGTCCTGGCTGCATGTGGTCTACATAGTAGGTTCCTCCTTTGGGTAGGGCAGGGACAAGGTACAATTATGGGCTGTGAAGTCATTCGGCATCATGTTGTGGGAACATTGTTATTTCTGGAAAAGAAGGGACACGGGCGATTGGCACATTTGTTTCCCTCTTTGTTGAGATTTCTCGAGAAAAGTCTGGAAGGTTAGATGTGGTCATTGTGATGGTGGTGTGATATTGTGGATGGTCTGGGTTTGGTCGGTGGTTGTACGGTGGCACTGTGCTTGAGACTACTAGTAGTGGACAAATGGCGGGGTCGGTGATCGATCAGATTGTCGTGCGTCGATGTGATTCCCCCCTCCGTTCAATTGTCCTATAATGGCAGAGATAGAGACATCACTAACAGAGGACAACCCTTTTTGTTGTTGGACAGTCGAGATGAGGTACACGGTCTGGCCAGGGCCTCACGATCGCACCGATAGGGGGTGGGGCAGCCTCACTCTGAAAGAGGTGGACCTGACCCGCGTACAAAGCCTCGTTTCCCCCTCAGCGGTGGTGTTCGTCTGTTGAATTATTAGAGGACTGTTACGGGCCTCGCTCAAAACATTTCTCCATAACTGTTACTCTCATGACATCACCGTTGAACACACCATTACCTCATCAATATCCGCTTCCAATCAAGCTGCTTCGCCAGTCCCCTGGGTCTGAAAGTCAATTTGACCATTTGTTCCACAACTTCCCTGTCATTCAGCCTGGGGGTCTTTGGGGCTTCTGAGTGGCAGGGCCCATTTGCCGGAATACGGTACGAGAGAGCCGGTGCCCACGGGTGATCCCCGGTCTGTGCGATGTGCATGCCGGGGAGCTGTGACCACTTAGCATGCTCGCGATATGTTAGGGAACTCATGGTACAAAGTACATGATTTGTGTCACTAATTGCTAGAGTGTCGCATAATGGTGCTATTTCTTTTCTATCTTCTCTCTATACAGTATTCTTTGTAGAGCTTGCAAGCAAATGCTGTCAGTGCAACGCCCAGAGAATGTTCCCAACAAGATGCCCTCTTATCCACCTTTCACCGGTCGCGATTGATGAAACAAAACAAAATAGAATCATGATCCGATCAAATCAACTCCCCGGGACGAATTGACCAAAATAATGGTCCAATGCTTCCACCTCTGCTAGGCTCCCTAACCAAGCAACATGCTGATCCGGACGACAGAGGACCAGACAACCGGTTTCATCTCGTATGCCGTACCTTTCATGTGCCTGGCCACAAGCTTCGCCGTACGAGCCATCGTCAGCAAATACCCTCGAGTAGTCCCATCCCCACGTCTCATCGAATGGATGAAATATCTCTGGTAGATCCAAAAGGTTCACCGAAGTCCTCGGGCTGGAATGCACCATGATTGTCTCGAGAAGGCGACTACAGTGGTTCGACTGAGCTTTGTGCAGACATGGCAGGTGAGCCTGCTCGTTGAACTGGTTCGCAAAACTAGACAGCCGACTCTGGTTGCGAGGTTCACGCAGGTCGCCTGGGAATACGAGCAGCCTCCAGGCTCCGTTACTGGTCAACCTGCTGCTCAGCTGCATGCTGATCCCGTCGGCCTGACCCACAACTGGATGTGATGACAGGCGCATACCGATCTTGATGTTGTTTGCGACCGCTGTATCCGCCTTCTTTCCGGCGACCAACTGATTTGGACCATATGTCACGCCCACTCCCGTCATGAAATCGATGTATTGGCCACGAACGCGCTCGACTCCTTCGGTGACGCTCGTGTCTTGTTCGTATGCTTGAACTAGCTCAGTATCCAGCTTGAGCAGCTCCTCGCCAACCGGTCGCCGTTCCAGTTCATATGTATCCAGTATACTCGGTGAAGCTTCCCCTGTGATCACGGAGCATAGCTTCCACGTAAGGTTGTACGTATCCTGCATCGACACATTCAGACCCTGACCTGCCTTGGGTGAGTGGGTATGTGCCGCATCACCGGCCAGGAAGATCCTGCCATTAATCAGCGCATGTCTCGAAAGAACTAAAGAGCCCACCAACCTGTCGTGTGGCCTATACGTTTCAACTAAACGTTGACCTATCTGTCCCCAGTCAGCTATGGCCACCTGCCTCTATCGGAAACTCACCTTATAGATAGACCACCAGTCGCAGTGCTTGTAAGTCAGTTTGTAGGGCTTCATCACCTTCGCCATGGCCCCCACAATCTCATCAAGAGATACTTCCGATCGATCTTTGCCCTCCACACTCAGCCTTCCATCGCCTTTGGGATAGATGTAAAAACGGACCAGCCGATTTTCCCTAGGGGCGGTCATGATGCTGCCACGGTCTCCAGCATGTATAGCACAGGATTGGCGAATATCCGCTAAAAGCACATGTCAACCAAGCATACAGATGTACCAACTGTATAGACTCACGGAAATCAGTAATTGGAGCGATATCCACAACGCCCCAGGTGGTATCTCCAGAACACACCCGCATCGGGACCTGCAACTGCTCTCTTACCCAGCTCCTCGCACCATCACAACCGATAACATACCGAGCGCGAATGGTCTCAACCTGATCACAGTGTCCATTGGCCCCTAAAACATCATCCAAGTCAGCATGCGACCACTATCAAACCCAGGAATAACCATACCATCGAGCCCAACCCGCTTCACCCCCACAACAATCGGATACTCATCCTCCTTCAGAATCTCCAAGGTCTTCGCCTGTTTCGCATACTCTACCTCCACCCTCTTTTCCCTCTCTAACTCTAGATAATCCAGAATTATCTGCTCAATCATCCCCTGATTCAGCAAAACCATATTATACCTCGACTTATCCGTCTGAGCCGGGTCCATCTTCTGCCTCGTTATCCCGCCCGCATTCTTATCATAGCCCTACGCAGCGCCCGAATTAGTGCGGTGCTCATTTTCCCCACGAGGATCGGAATTGGAGACGAAGCTGAATGCGAAATAGTATATAAAAAATTAATAGTTTATTTACCCAGAAACACATTTCTGCATGTTGCACACCTTTCCGCACTATCGGATCAACTAGCCCGAAGCTCTCCAGGATCTCCAGTGTTCGGCTCTGTATCCCGTCCGCGTGGCCGGTCGCTGTTCGGGAAGGATGTTTGTCGATGATTCGGGTCGTCATGTTCGTGTACTGGGAGGCCCAGCAGGCCGCCATGAGGCCGGCTGGGCCGGCACCGATGATGAGGAGGTCGGTTTGGGTGGGGGAGGAGTTGGGTGCCATTGCAGGGTGTCGTGTCATGCCATTGAGGTAGGTGGGAAGAAGTATAATATGTAGATATTGAGAAGATTTGTACAGAAAATGAGATATGTAGTATGTCTCACGCTATTGCAGGTCTATCTCAGCCACATCGCGTTCCTGATGGCTTTAGATAAAGTAAAGAAGTGGCGTCACAATTGAGTTCGGGCGGCTGGTTAAGGTAACTACCACATCGAAACGTCATGGATCGTCACCGTTGCTGACACTTTATCGGAGAATTTTTTCTTGATCATAGTTACCCTTTGCTGCTCCGGTTCCTTACCCTGGCTAGGGTTTCCATTGTGGATCGCCGGATTATTGTACATGCTGTAATTGGGGTGATATAGACACTGGGCAGATGGTACTACTCAAATAGGTAATCGTATTCCCGGATTTATTTTCCACCTCGACCTGTCACATCATTGGGTGATCTCATCTAATGGATTGAACGTTAGATCATGAAGATTTCTTCTCAATGCTAATCGCATTGATAGAAGTCTTAGACTCACCAATCCCACGTCGTCCGATCGGAGTCCTGACCCTCGGGTACAAGTCACCGGTCGCATCATCAGCGATTCGAATATACATAGAAGCTGGAATGTGGCGCTAATGGAACGATAGCAAATGAGGCAAGTATAAAATAAGCACATTGACGCGACCTTTTGCGCGTCTGGGGTATCAAGATCAAGCACATCCTATACAGGATGTGCCATATCAGCTTTCCACGCCGTCACGCGAACCGCACTATGAGCCCGACGACAAGCCCGGCGATAGCCCCAATGACAATCCCACCTGCTGAATATAGCAGCGTACGGCGCCACGACCAGTTCACCCACCGTAACTCGGTGGGTAACTGATAGCCTGGGTTTACGGGCGCGTTGGATTCAAGGGTTGGTCCTTTGGCGTAGCTGTCGGGCTGAGCGGAAGTCATCGTTGTGGTTCGGAAATGTCCTGCTCAGCCAAGGTGTCAGTTCTTGATAAAGAACAGATTCTCGGGGATAATATACGCACGGCTCGGGCATGCGATCGTGTCTTTTAGTGATAACTACTTAGAATAATGTCGAGAGGGCCCTGCGTCGCCTTTGTAATCATTAAATAAACCGCCGCATCTGCACCCTTTCCGCATGACTTTATCCTTCATTCGAACGGGCCATACAAAGGTCAGTACGGGTCGGGCTGTGCTGTGCCCTGCGAACATGCTGTCTTCCTTGGCTTCTTGGCAACATCTGATTTGAGTGCCCTGCGGGGATCTTGACTTCGTCGGTGTTTTCAAACCGGAGTGTAGAGGCCCGGCTGTGGGTCATATCGAGTTTCTTAGTGGATACTAACTAGGAAGAGGATCAATCCTGATGAAAGGGCCCTGTGGAGGCTTATGGATTTGCGTTCTTATTCGCAGAGGGCAAAGATGATGTCTCGGAAGAAAAGAAGACCGGGCAGTCAAAAGAGGAGAGCAGAAGCGCTCGTTCGAGTCCATCGCCTGCTACCAAGCGTATTCATATAGACATGGACGGAATATTGCGTATGCCAAGGGGTAGTGCCCCTGCCACTTCGCAGAGGTCAACATTAAAAGTTCCTAATGCGGATGTTTGGGGGTTTGGTCGCTATCGGGGCTGATGCTGTGCTGATTCTGGAGGGCATCGCAACTGATGTTGTCAGATAGCTTCACAAGAGCTAGGTGGATATGTCGTGCTGATTATTCCGGAACTATTTCTCATACTGCATGCAGGCTTTGCAACTGTACTAACTGCACCGGTGACCTCCCAAAGAATGGGACTATTGCGGTCATCGTAACTCATAATAGTGGATCAATGTAGACGTCGCGCTTGGTTGACAATATCGTCTCCCAGGCTGCAGTACAATCGAGATAAGACTGAAAACTTGCGAATCCTCAGTTGTAGGAAAGGAATGGTATGGTAAATATATCAGTTGATGATGGGCGGACCCGGCCAAGAAGCCGCGGCGACTCGAGGAAGTTCACCCCGGCGGCTTGGTTGAACTTTGCACGTGTGGAGACTGTGGCCCGCGCTATAATATACATGGTCAAGGTAGAGTCGTAATAATTATTGTTAGATTTTGCGATCGTGACTGAGATCGTATGTCGAGGGCATCATTCGGAACTCGAACGTCGTGGTGCGGAAAACGGTGGGTTAAGATACCGAAGAAGCATCCTGTTAACAGTGCGACAGCGAAAGGTATGATATGAGATTAGCCGCTCAACACGCATAATAAAGTTGAGGAGCCTCGTGGCCGAGGCCATCGTTACGCTCGGTAATGTTGAGAACCCGAGGGCTCTTATGTTCGTAAAGTGGGTTTGGGGCAATCGCAGTAGAACTGTATCAGTAAATTGTAGCTCTGGCTATGGGCAGATGTCGCTACAGAGCTTTGCTTGGAACTATACCCATGGAGCCTGTTGAAGTAATTGCTATCACTGCGTATTCTGAGATGAACCCGGTATCTAGTTCCGACGGAACACTCGATGTGCGGAGACCAACAGGCGATATATCAACCTTATAAGCGGCTTTGTCGACTTTCTCGCACTGACACCATGCCAATCTTTGTTGGGCTGTCAGAGCATCTTGCTCATCTTATATCAAAATGAACCCGATCGGTCAGACTGAATGTGCGCAGGCGGCAATTTAGAGACACCGTCTGTCCAAGAGAGGCGCCCACAATCTCGCTCACCAAGATGTATGGGGCCCGGCGGGAGAAGACCATGGCGAACCCATGGTCCCTAAATAACTCGGATGGAATGTAAGTCTAGCCGTAAGCCATGTATAACTCGATCTGGTAGTAGGTGACAACGCTGACAGTAGTTAGTGTGATCCTTCGTCTGGCAGAAAATAGCCTTCTACAAGAAGATATTGCAGACTTTGTGTAAGCTCAGGCAAGTCCGACAGTCACTGTAAGGGCCTTTTTTTCTCTCCTTATTAGCTGATCGACTATGACGGCAGATAGCGGTTCTCCCAACTGAACACCCTACCTACAGCACTGGACCCAGAGGATCACGTCGTCTTCGACGTGCAGCAGCAGCATTCATGACTGAGGAGTTCCAGGCCCGGGAGCCCGTTACAGAAGACAATATTTTCGTCACACCTGGCTTGGCCAGTGCGATGGATGCGTTAGCTTGGTCAAAATGTGACGAAGGCGAAAGTATTTACATTCCTCAACCGCTGTACAACGGTTCAATTTCGACACTCTCAATCGAAGCAATGCGCCTGTGATTGGGGTGCCGTACGAGGGCATAGAAGGGTACTCTAACCTCGAGGACCTGTTTCACCCTGAGGTGAATGAAATAGCTCTAGAGTCTGCGTTGCGCAAAGCAGAAGACGATGGTATCACCGTTCGTGCCCTTTTGGTTTCCAAGTCAATTATGTCCCTCGTCATAGAGGTGTCTACTTACCGACGCAATGATGCCTAGCCCACATAATCCTTTAGGAAGGTACTATGTCTGATTTCCCATCCTCCTAGTTCACTGTCCTCGTACGTACTCATTTTGATTTTGATATAGCATCCTGAGACCCCGAGGGAATTCGCGCATTTTGCGGTAGACATCAACTACACTTCATCTCCGATGAAATCTATGCGAAATCAGTATTTCTGAATACGGAAATCGCGACCCCGATCTCAATCCTCTCTGCCCTGGCACTTGATCTTCGCGACATTATTGGCCCCATTCTTCTACATGTTCTGTATGGTGCAAGCAAGGACTATTGTGTCAATGGTTTACGGCTTGGATTATCCTCCACGAAGAATGAGGGTATCATAGGTGCAATGTTGAGCATTAGGTATGGGAATACTGCTTGGGTAATAAGCGAATATCCCTGACGCGGAATATTTAGCATGTCTCATGGTCGCCATGCTCGAGTACAAGGCATGGATGGACAACTTTATGTGCAAGAAAACCAGTCTCATGGTCGAGAACTACCGTATTGCCACATCCTTCTTCCGTGAACATGGCATTCGTTTTTGCGAGTGTAAGGTTTTTTGCCAACATGTTGAAGGCCTGATTGTGCACATATGTCGCAAGGAATGCCGGCTTGTTCATCTGGATAGACCTTCGCCATCTACTGCTAGGCAAGCCTATCGCACCGCAGTCAGACTACAGGCAGCTGAGGATTACGTTGCCAGACTCGCTTATATGAATGAGAATTACCGACATCTGTGCGGAGAATGGGGTTATGATTGCGCCTGGTAGCGTGTACATGCCAAAAGAGCTCGGGTGGTTCCGTATCACGTTCACTGTCGGGAAGAAAGCCTTGGAAGAAGGATTGAAGCGGCTGTTGAGACCCATCAAGGAGGCTGAAATGGGAACTTGTGGGAATTGAAGGACTATGCCGTTTGAAGTATAGTGAAGCGCATTGATTGCTATCTCGGTCCTAGACCGCACCACATTCACCAGATTCCACCAGCCTTGTCTGTGTTTAGCGTCCCACAATCCCCCTCTTGGATGGCTGCCTGTGGTGCTGTCATCTTTACTTGGCTACCTAAGTCGCACACTTTAGATGTTTGTATTTTCTCATCGTCCGTGTTATCATAATCGTGATACAGCCCAATCACCTCGGACCATCTTTGCTATTTATAGGATAGTCCGGACAGGGATTGCCTTTGTCCTCTGGCCAGAATAGTGACTTGGTCGCATTAGGGCATACTACACAGTTATACTATAGGTCAAACCCTCGCGGATGGCAGGTTCCCCTCTTTTATGCCCTTTCTTGTGCTAATCAGAGGACCGACTGGAAGATCAGGCTGAGGGCCGGGCTAAACACAGACCCACGGCGAAGGCGGGCGCAGACATGAATGGTGCAACCGGGGAATCTAGATCAAAGCGACTCCACCAGGGGAGATTAAAATCATGGACAAGCATACACAACAACCTAGCTAGCTAGTCAGCTACGTAGCTAGTTAAATGACTACTGTGTGGCACAGTCGCCCACCAGCTGAATGAGCCACGATCCCGACAGTCCCTTTACCCGAGCCTCACACCAACAAGGACCCCAACCGATCGCGAATGGCCCCCAATTCACTAAAATGAAGCCAACTCATCTTCCGGACAAAACAACAGGGATTAACTGGTCTAGCTGGTTTAAATGCCCGTCCCCATGCACCGCCCCTTAAAAAACGTTGGCCCAGGAAGCCTTTCCTCCTTCCTTCTTCCCTCCCAAGAAAAAACAAACCCCCAAAACTGCCTACATCTGACCTCAGCCAACCATGGCTGCCAGGTCGTCGGATGGGCTTCGTCTCCTGTCCGATGTCAACATCCCGGACGCAAGATTGAACGACGACTCATCCGGTGACGATAAAAGTGTAATTGATCTGCGCGATCTTGGTGGGGGGCCACGCGATTCATTTCGTAGTGACTTGACCGATACACCACCCAAAGGTGTCGATCATGGCGATCAACCTCATGCTTTGCCAGTGCCAACCAATAAACCAAGGCGTCGGTGTTCGGGTCTCTTCGTCACTCTTATCGTCCTGGGAGTATACACCACCCTCCTGTCTGGGGTCTTCTTCGTCGTCGCGTGTATCAAGCCCTTCTATGGCAGTTTGATCGGCAACAATGCCGGACTCACTGCCTCTTCCGCGTCCTTGCTGAGCGCCCTTTTAGCCAAAACAATCGAGCTCTCTTATGTCACAGTTTGTGTTGCATTCCTGGGCCAACTGTTGAGTCGACGGGCTCTCACGCATGGGTCTGAGGGTGTCAGCATCGCCGACATGACGCTGCGAACCTGGATCACGCAGCCGGGATCGCTGCTAATGCAGTGGGACGTGTTGCGCTATGTCGGCTGGACGACGCTTGGTGGGTTGACGCTGATTGTTGCTCTGGTTGCGATGCTGTATACCACCGCTGCTGAAGCGTTAGGTTGGTCACTCTGTCCCCTTGCCATTAGTATTAGTCTAATACTCACTTGCTGACCCTCTGCGCTCTACCGGCTGTAGTATCTCCAAGCTTGGTTTTAGGCCCCGTCCAACCCCGACTTCTGCAGGGAAATGTTTCCACCCAGTACTCCAACCCTTATTATTTGGAGGATGCCTGTCAGAGTCCAATCACTGCCGCCGTTGACCCGACATCCTGGAATGAGACCTGCCTGGCGATGGAGATAGCCGGCCGCTCATACCATGACTACTACCAATACCTGCAAGGTTGGGCCGAAATGCTGAAAGCCGGGAATAACACCTCGACTGCACTTGCTTATCGTCCGCAGCCACATGCCTTGTTATACGACAACACCACAGTAACGGGTCGCTGGATTGAAATTGTGAACACCACCGCCGTGTCCGAACAGCATGGTCGAGTCGTCAACAATGTTACTGCCGCCTACCCTCACGGAGGCCTCTTCGCCGCTGCTCGCAACCCCGCAAATAAGATCCAGCAGCCAGTTGATATGTCCGGCGAGGGTAAATACATTATCCAAGCCTCTCTCCCTTCACCTGCAATCAATGTGATGTGTGTCGGCATGTCTCATGACGAGCTGAAACCCCTCATCTACACCGAGTGGCCCAACCATAAGCCCTTCAACGCATCGACTTGGGCAACCGCTGCACCAACCTACTCGATCAACACGAACCGCACCGTCGTCGATGACCTTTTCGGCTTCAGCGAAGACCAAGGCGCCCCTGTCTTTCCGATTTACCCCAAAGACTACAACACCATTCTAAATCCCAAAGTTGACAACACAACCTCCATCTACATCTTAGGCAGTGCTCCTCCAGGTCACGACCCGAAGTACATCCTCTGCAGCTTGCGCGGAAAGCTTTCCGGTCGCTGCTCAGCCCGGTACCAGGTCGACCCTAGCGGCGGTGACCTGAGCTCCCGCTGCGAAGACGCGGCCGACGGGCTCCAGTACAACCGGATACATCCTAACACGTCGGAGGATCAATACCTGATGAACTGGAAAAGCGTAGGATGGGAGTGGGCCGACACGGTGACGCTCGGGTCAGGCATCATGGGTGACAACGCCAGTATCGAACGCACGCTGATGGAATTGATCCCGAGTTTCGATAATACCACCAATACCTCTTCGCTAGATCCTCGACTCCCCTCGCTCAGTGAGGCTTTGGCCGTCTTAGCGGGGAGTACCGCTCTCCTCGGCAGTCAGGATTCTCCATTCGTTCCCGATTGGAATTACGCTGAGGCCAGTCTCGCTACCCCGGTTGTGCAGGTGTTCAACGCGACGCTGCAGTCCGCGGGCTATGCGTCCGGCCGGACGAGTGACTGGCAGCAGGTGTTTTATGTGATTCTAGCTGTGGTCTTTCTGACGAACATCATGTGTCTGGGGTTCATCCTCTTCCAGGGACGCGGGCAGTTAGTGACGGATTTCACGGAACCGCCGAATCTATTTGCTTTGGCCGTTAATAGTCCGGGGACGGTGCATGCCTGGTCTGGAGCGCAGCTGGGAGCGGCAGGGACTCCGCGCTTGCGCGATCGATGGCATGTCGATATGCGCGAGGAGAGCGGACATTATTATATTCGTACCCGGGGGCAATTGCAGGACCTTGAGGATAGGGAGGCGAACTAATGGCTATGATATGATTTTCCGAGGGCGGTCGGGGCTCTTACTTTTACTGCATTGCAGGTGTTAGCGAATAGCGTTTATTGCATTAGACAGATAGTATTGTAATAATGAATGTCAGCATCAAGGTCACTGGAGAATAGCTTTATCGTATGCGATGCTCTTCATATAGAGCTGATTAATCATGCCTCTATTTGCAGATAAGAATGATACCTCTAGCACAAAGGCCTTGGCAAATAAGACAGCCAGCCAGCCAAATGATCCTTAGGAATTTCCTAAGATATGGCGGATGGCGGGTGGGTATGCAAGGGTGATTCGCGGGCTGGCTCTGCCTTTCGTATTCTCGGACAGTAACCATGAGATCGGTCCTGAGGCACCGCGGATAGATAAGAAGGTAAAATAATCGTTCGTCCGAGCCCCCGGAGCCGAACAAGAATCTTTCTAGCGATATACCGGAGATGCTACGGACAATGAATCGGGTTGTCTCCGAGATTCATGGATTGTTATGATACCCCTCTGTTGATGAGAGTGTCACGTTTGGCAGAATCCCCGTAGTTTCGGAGAGGATAATAGTCTGGGAGAAGCATCTGCTAGCAAACCCCCAAGGAGCTCAAATAGGACAATATGGAGGAGTTGTTGGATACATGTCGCGATAATGGCATTCCAATCGTCGGAATAAGATAAGGAGGACTAACACGTTGATAACGCCAATATTCGGCAACAACACGTGCATATGAGGTGCTCTGTAAATGTTTATTGATGAAATTCTGTCAAGTCATTTGCATGAGTAATCACCTGTTCGATATACTAGTTGTTCATCTAACTCATGTTCTTCATTGCTTTTGTTGTGAGTCGTAATAGACTTTAAGAAGATGTGCTGTTGAGCCAGCCCAATTCCCAGTGTAATCCTCTCATTGGTGGGCAGCTTACATGTGCCGCATATCTCTCTATCCATTCGGATTGTTTACAATATGACAATCTGCAATGCCAGCCTCCAAGTCCTGTCACACCGACAAGACCGCCACAGAAGCCCCGCAACAGTTATCTTCACTCGTAGATTGCGTCCAAGTAGCCTCTTATGATCTATTATCCAGCGAAATAGTCTGTATGTACTGGATTTAGGTATACCTCTACTTAGCTCCCCAGCGCGCAGGCGCCCGTCTCATACCTATATCATGCTTTTTTCATGGAGCAAGAGCAGCAGAACACCCAGCTCACCATGAATCGGGGAATTGATAGTTGTCCAACCCTGCATTCCACCTTTTGGGGAGATCGACAGGAAATCTGCATTCCGCCAGCCCATCCTTGTCCACCCCTTGCGTCATTCATCGCTTACCTTTACAATCCTCAGCTCAGCCTCACCTGGTCCTTCGAGATATAGTCAAGCTCCGTAGCTACAGAGCCCCCTTAAGCACCGTATATTCAGATTCTCCCAACAGCACACTCTATCCAACGCATCCACCAGCCGAGTGGTTAAATCCGGCAGCAGGATGGGCTCGCCGGAAAGCGCAATCCCCGGGCACGGGGAGCATCTCCCAGGAACCGAGATAATGCACGATGGAGAGGATCACCTCATTCATGGATCTGAAACGGGGATAGTGTGAGCAGTGCTCCTCGAGTCTAGATGTACAGCATTAGCTCACCTCCACAAGCCTCGTTCCTCAGCCATCGGAGGATCCCCACGATCCGCTGAACTGGTCGACGAAATGGAAGCGTTAGTCGCAACCACCCCGCACTCTGAACCATGCTCATCAATCATCTTCGATGATAGTCTTAGTGATCATGACCCAGCTCGTGGCCGTTTTCGTATTGACAGCATCTGCATTGTCCATGAGTCCCATGTTCCCTGCCTTTTCCGAATCCTTCGATTTGAACAACACTCAACTCCTGCTCATCACCGGCGTGTGTATCCTGTCCTTTGCCTATGCCAATTTGATCGTCGTTCCCTGTTCCAATATCTTCGGTCGTCGCCTTACATTCCTCGTTTTCTTGTCGATCAGCTTCGCCTCATATATATGGGAGGCTCTCGCCTCGTCTTATACCAGCTTTATCGTGGCCCGAGTGGTGAATGGAGCAGGGGCTGCGGCCTGTGAGACAATACCCATGCAGACTGTTGCGGATATATTCTTCTTGTACGAGCGAGGACGATGGACTGTAGCTTATTTGTCAGTGGGACTATCGAGAAACACATCAAGGCTGTTTTACTGACCAATCAAACCTAGTACCGCGGCCTCTTTTGGCTCTTTCCTGGGGCCAGTAATCTCAGGTAATATCACGCAAAGGTATGACCATGTCATTAACTATTTCATACGATAAACTTGCGCTGAGTTCGAGTGGCCGACTGACTGACCCATGGAGTACCAGATTCGGATGGCGTAGCTTCTTCTGGCTATCAATGGCCATGACCTGCTTCAACTTCATCACTATCCTCCTCTGCTCCCCAGAGACGAAGTATCACCGTGACCATGCGCCTAACCCACTGCGACATACGCCACATGCGTCTCTGACCCCAAAAGCCATGGAATCCCCCACAGACGTCAGCCCGACCGTAGATTCGAAGGAAACTTACTCAACCCAACCACTACCCCCGAAGCCCGGGACTGGATCCCCCTCTAGCGCCCAATTCAAAATATGGCGAATCCCTGACATGCGATGGAAGGCCTTCCTCCTGCGAGACCTCCTCACCCCATTCCGCATATGCCTCTACCCCATCATTTTCTGGGCTGCGGTGACAGTTTCCGGGGTCGCGAACTTCGTTCTCTTCTGGAACCTCACTGAATCCTCCGTCCTTGGGGCCCCACCCTACAATTTCAATGCGTCCGAAGTGGGATACTCCAACTTCGCCTTTCTGATCGGTTGCATAGTCGGGCTTGTCACGGAGGGACCATTATCTGACTGGGTCGCGGTGAAAGCCACGCAGCGGAATAAGGGTGTCTACGAAGCGGAAATGAGACTCTTGGCTCTTATCCCTCCCGCTGGAATACTGCTTCTGTCGGTGTTGGTTGGTGCATTTGCTATCCATGATTTATGGCCCTGGCCTGTTCTTTTGATATTTGGGTACGGACTCAGTGGCCTGGTTGTCTCAGCGATGTCTAGCATTGCAGTGGCGTATGCGATGGATTCGTATAAACCTGTCTCTGGGGAAATTATGGCCGTGGTCACAATTGTGAGGAATACTTGTGGGTTTAGTATGAGTTATTGGGTGCCGTCGTTGGCGGAGAGGAGGCTGGGGTATTTTTTGCCTGCTATGGTGCAGTTGGCTTTGACGTTTGGGCCGTTGGTTTTGGGGGTGCCGATGTACTTTCTCGGGAAGAGGTTGCGGATGTGGACGAGGAATTCGAGTGTGCATTTGTATGGGGGTTGATAGCGATGTTGTTTTGTCTAGGGTTTTTTAATCTAATATATGTTTCTCTGTCTGATTCTTGATTGGAATGCTCTGGAATCGTTATGGTGGCGTTCTGACTCGTGTTTCCCGGAAGTGATGCAATGTTCAATGAAATGTAAAACTACGTGATCCCTCAAAATACTCTGATGTATTAGACACATCCCACTGAGTTCATTATATTGCCATCCTCACTTCTGATGCAACTTGTTATTGGGTATCCCGAAAACTCCCTGTCCAGAGGGCATTACGTATGGCGGACCCAAAAATATGTGCGCTTCGGGCTATTAAGGTGAGCCCGCCATCTTCGATATATACATCAACTCATACTATATACTATGCATAGATCCTGTCAGATCCTTCTATATGCTACATGCTCTTGTTTGGTTTATTCCGGTCCATTGCGAACAAGGTGTCCGTCGCTGTCGTCGTTCAGGTCGTGATCAGCCATGGTAGTGGATAACGCTCGATCGGTCATGGTTGTAGAGAGTGTCTGATCATCCGTGCGGGAGTCCTCTACATCCACAGTCTGCATAATTATGATGCTGTCGACCGCTCGTGGAAGTCTCTTTGGGGATGACTGCGTCTGCTGCGGAGGCGTCTCTGGCTGCCTGGCCCGTCGGAGGCTGTACAATGTGGGCACGTTGGCAACCAGTGCGGAGAGAAGCTCCTCGATGGGACTCAAGATAGTCTGCAATGGAGTATCTAGCGCGCCTTGGTGGAAGGGGAACCGGAGAGCGGAGATCACCACGAGGACAATGCCGACGGAGAAGAGGCCGACGAGCTGGGCACGTCTTCGCATCGGTCAGTACGGATGAAGATTGTTGATTTCAGCGTTCTCACTCACTTGTACCAGGGACGCCGAATCTTGAGAAGCCAGTGAATTGGAAGAATAATCAGCATTACGTCTGTGACACAGTTCAGAGCGGCGTGGACGGATATGTGATATGTTGATCTGATACAAGGACCTGCGATCAAAGAAAGCACGGGTTAGGAGACATTTAGCCACTGCATGGTGAAGTACGCACCTGGGTCGGGATAGACTTGGAAGTACAGACTTAGTGGTCTGCATACGGTGAGGAAGAGAAGGAGCAACGTTATGTAGGTAATGCATAGAATGGCCCACATAACCCGAATCCATATGTATGGCCACGGAAGCACCCCCAGGAGCCGGTTGATGAAGCAGAGAACGACGGCCTTTTGACACCAAAGACTTCGTGGTCTCAGTAATCTTTATCATATAGGGGCCCGGTATGTATGTTGGATTGGGTATTCTACTTACTAAGTGAAGTAGATGATCGCGCCAGCGTAGGTGACTTTGCTGCTCATTTGGGTACGCTTGATATCGGCGCGACTCGGTGATTCGCCCGTTAAGTATGAGACGGCCACGTTACCAATCGTCCCAAAAACAAGAGTAATGTTCATGATATAGACCAGACACAGGCAGCAAAACAAGGTAATATAGTCGCTAATGACGAAGGACTGTCGTCTATAGCGGCGCATATAGAGCCGGAGGCCCATGATGCTGATTGCCAGCGTCGCAAGGAGGTACCCCACGATAATGGCGGCATCATCCCCAGAATTGCTCATTGTGAAGCCTTATGGAACAAGCCTGGGAGCCATTAACGGGGAAACGGGTACTGAACAAGGGTTTTATATTCAGGTGTTGGTCCGGGAGACCTCGAGCATCGCAGTCTGGCCCAGACAAAGAAAGTTTAAACAGGAGCTGCCTCGGAGTCCCAGCCGGATCACAGTTGACAGCTCCGATTTCAAATATATTGCAGATAGTTGCTTGATAATGCTGAGAGTCCCCGAGGGAAGATGTCGGTGGAATCTAAGGTGTTGGGTTAGACGTAGATCTAACAGTGGGTCTTTGAAGACTATCGGGGACCAGCTCATTCTTGTCGATGAAGATCCGCTTCTCGGGGACTCTTGGTAGGCTCGGTTGTGTCACTCTTGAATGTGCCATGGGACAACTAGATTCCAGCCTGGCCACGATTTCTGGGAAGCTCGATCTCAGAATGGAAAAGGAGTGACCCAGCATTTCCCCTCAACAACCCCCCTCCCCCCAGGCACGGGAGGGATCAACCTTATCCGAGGCCCATGCTCCGACCCAAATATCAACGAGCGCGTCCAAGCGCTCAATAAACTCTTCGTATCACATCAGCCAAGACAACTCAGACAAAGAAACTGATCAGCTTAGCCAGTTCGAGGACAGCCACGAGCTATAATACCTTGTCTCCAGCCAATGCATAATGCTACCCGACCATGAGTTCGTACCGAATAATAGGCCCTCCAGCACCGCTTGCATCCACCTACGCCTGAAACAGAGGGCTAAGAAGTCCAGACCTGGCTGTGTAGCCTCGTAAACGGCCAACCCCGAGGTTCAGTCTCCTCCGCGAGCTTCCGGCTTCCTTGAGTTGCGGTGTTTGGGTCGGAGAGCTAAGACGCTGTAGGCATAGAAGACGTTTGCCGCTCGGATCAATGTGATAACCCCTCATTTCCTGCAGACCAGGTGATTAAGAAGTAAATCGCAGGAAAGTTGGGTGATCATGGAATCATGTAGTATCCTTCGGCGATGGCACAGCTGTGAGTGCCGAGTCAGGGGATGGACAGCGGGAGCCGCTACTTTAGGGAAGCTGATTAAAGTCCAGGGGGTTAGTCTTGGGCTGTTTTCACCACTTTTTCCTCGGAAAGACCGCTCTTCGAGTCAGTCACATCACCAGTGGGCGAAAGTATCAACAGACCTCCACCTTCAGGGGCAGCCAGTTTCTCCTCTTTCAGGCCTTACTTTTCGCATAGCAGCAGGTTGACTTTTCCTCTTCGTCAATCGGAATCCTACCGCAATGTGGAGGAGGCCATACTGTTGATCCAAAAAGTGCAATAACGCCCCCTGTTAATTTGTCTTTATGGCTTGTTGGGGTTCCATGTAGCTGGGTGGATGAATTCTGGGAGAGCCAGCTCCTTATAATTCACTGCCGGGGCCCAAGAGTCAGCAAGCTAGTCGGTCACAAGACATCTTTCCTTTATGCGCTGGAGCCTGTCCTGCCAGCAGCCAAGGATGAAATCCTGAGTAGTAATCCTCCAGTGTCCATTCCCTCCGAGAGCATTATCACCACCGCTACTACTACCTATAATGTATACTACATTCAGTGAGCCACCAACGTCTGTCGCCCCTGCCCCACAACAGCAAATGTCAGACCATTACTAAAGCTTAGCAGACGTTTTCACTTCAGTGATATAATGCCATTATTATAATCGGGGATTTATGCGACCATGCAACGCTCGAATACGACAGCACATGCAGCCGACTTTTAAACCCAGATTTCCTGTCTAACATCAACCTGAAGATACCATTTATGCAACACAACAAGCCATAATCTTCCATGCCCTTCTCCACTCTTAGGAGCACTCCTCAATCGGAAGAGATCCTCGGATGCAAAGCATCCTGCGGCACCAGCAGGTGGCCGTTTATTGGCCTCGGATCCGAGCCCTCGGGGTGGAGGGAGACGGGACCGTGTGTGGATGCAACCTACAGCACACAATCGACCTTGTCGGACTGCTGTGGGTTGAGCGTGGGGCGGCACTCTCGCCAACTGGGAAAATTCAACCAGTGAGGCCTACGGGAGCGGAACCATGGTGTGACCCAAACCTTGGAAAGTGGAATTCGAGCGAGGACCTTGAGGACAAGTTAACCGGGGCTGCATCTCACCCATTTCGTTCGACAGCTTGATTGGCCGGCTGATAAGCGACATCCCCATCAGCCCTATAGGGCGCTCGTCGTCTAGCTCACGAGGAGATGCTGCTCAGCCCTACCGGTCTGCTTTGCGAATGATATCGCCAGCAATGTCAGCAGAAGGCTTCTTAGACATGCAGAGCTTTTACGGGATGATCCCTTGAAAGGACATCAACCGCTGAGACGATTGAGGAAGTCCGCATCCTGTCAAGAACCGAGCGAGACAAATTTGGCTAAATGGCTAGTCAGCCCTCAATGGCTGGCTATCCCTGTCAGCCTTAACTTGTCGAGATTATTGCGGCCCACAATGGAGGGCACCTGGTTCGCCATCGTCAGGCCAGGTACTCCCCAAGACACCACCCATCCCCTTCAGCTACACCCCAAGGTCCTCACTCAATATGCTATAAGATGAGCCATCTACAGCTGTTCTTCATAATGTCCTCTCCAGTCAATCCTCACTTTGATTTTCTCCTCCAACTCCTCCTCCCATCTGGTCGTCATGGCTATCTTCAACGCATCTGACGTAAACCTTCACACGGCCAGCAAAGAGGATGTGCTGTGCTACTATGCCATCTCTGAAAATGACTACAACGGTCATATGGGAGCCCGCATCTCCTCCATCTTCGTCATCCTCTTCGTCTCCACAGCCTTCACTTTCTTCCCTGTCGTGGCTAAGAGCATGCCCCGCTGGAAGATTCCTCACAACGTCTACATCTTCGCCCGTTACTTTGGTACGGGTGTCATCCTAGCCACAGCCTTTATTCATCTGCTAGATCCGGCCGTATAAGCGCATCGGACCCAAGACCTGCGTTGGCGTTTCCGGCAATTGGTCCATATACTCCTGGTGTGCGGGCATTGTACTTGCTTCCATCACTCTGATCTTCCTTCTCGATCTCGCGGCCGAGGTATACGTGGAAAACAAGTACGGCATGCACCGCGAGGAGAATGCCACGGACGCCTTTATTGCCGGTGATCCGACCAGCGCGCATGTTCACCCCAACCCCGAAGATGGTCGCATGTCGGCAGAAAAGACCTCCCCCACCGCAACCTCTGCAGAAACCTCGTCGGAACAAAGCGAACGCTCCTTCAGACAACAGATTGCCGGTTTCTTGATCCTCGAATTCGGTATCATCTTCCACTCGGTCATCATCGGGCTCAATCTTGGTGTGACCGGTTCCGAATTCGCGACCCTCTACCCCGTGTTGGTCTTCCACCAGTCCTTCGAGGGCCTGGGTATCGGTGCCCGACTCTCAGCCATCCCCTTTGGACATCGCAAGTGGCTCCCTCACCTGCTGTGTCTGGCATATGGTCTGACCACCCCGATCTCGATTGCGATCGGCCTGGGCCTGCGCACTGCCTACAACCCGGGATCGAAGACATCCTTGATCGTGCAGGGAGTGTTCAATGCCATCTCAGCAGGAGTGCTGATCTATAGCGCCCTGGTGGAACTGCTGGCCCGCGACTTTATCTTCGACCCATGCCGCACTCGTCGTCGCTCCAAGCTGTTGTACATGGTTTTCTGCACGTTGTTGGGGGCGGGCATCATGGCTTTGATCGGAAAGTGGGCGTAATTGCCTCGCACTGTGTATGACAGTAAATACCTACATGTGAAAAGATACCCTCAACTCTATATGTCTAGTAATCTGCATAATGGATACGCATAATGGATAGCCTTGTGCCTTTATTCTCATCTTTTCGTCCGTTGATGTAGTATCCCTCTTTTCCTTCTACACACACTGGTTAGATATCTGCCGGTCGCTTCAGCCAACGCTGCCTACTTTTGACATGACGGGTTGCCCTCAGACAAGTCTGCATCAGTGATTCTCAACTAGTTGACCGTCTAATTTTGAGGCACGCTTTGGTCGTCTGCTAGATTGGAGCCGACTAGCACTACAAAAGGAGACACATTTGCATTTACTCCGTCTATCCTCTCCGCATCCTTACCCTTGGCAAATACTTCCATCCCGTATGAAATTCCCGATCTTCCAAACAAGAATCCCGTTACATATGTGCTATCTTCTGCCCATATTCATCAACTTAAGTTATCTTACTGATAGATCACCGTAGATCTTCTACCCCGCGAGGCGGAAGTCAATGTGGACTACTTCATCACTGTCCACATACCCTTGGCGGAAAAGCTCTGCTGCAAGGACGTGCTCTTCAGTTGGGAGATATTCACCTTTCTTCCAGATGCACCGTACTGCCTCCAGGCCAACGTAGCCTGGGCTAATGCCGAGGCCCAAGCCGCTGCAATGTCGGGCAAGAATGGAAAATCGTTGGCAAATGGTACTCACACGTACGCTAAAACATAGCCGTTCTCTATACCGAGAGAGTTTGTGGCACGGAGCTAGTCTGAATAGGGAAGAACAAGTAATGGAAGAGGGATTAGAGTACTTCAATGCGTTGCTGTCTTGGAATATCGATGGTGTAATTTAGAACCCAAACATAGTACTGCCAAGTCTGACCGGTGGGTTGACCGCCAAAAGCGGCAGAACCTCGTCGACCTCGCGAAGAAAAAAGTACGGATATAAACGGATATAGGCGGATATATTTTTGTACAGCTCCGAAAAAATCAGTCAGCATTCTGTATGTTTTTGGACCGCCTTGGGGAAGGAGTGGCAGAATCTGGTGTCACGTGTGGGTGTGCATGTAGGCTAGTTATAACTAGTTCATGGTATTGTGTCAATGCGACCATAGTTCTCTGATCACTCGTTTTTGATACGTAGCAGCACTTTGGAATGCTATAAAATAGCCAGAGGAGAATGGCGAGCAATACTGTCTTACTATCCTCCAATGCGCTTCATGGTGGCAGTTATCTACCTACGCTTCCCCTGTGCCGGTACTGAGGTAAGACAATTTTCAAGTCTCTTGTAAGTGTCCTCATTATCACCTTCAGAACCAAACGTTTTCGTTAAGATAACAATTTTAAGAAGAATTCAGGGCATGCAGTCGTAACGTCGATCCATTATATCCATCACTTATAACTTCAGGGTATACAAAGGGTAACACGCACGCAATAGCAAAGCAACAAACAACAACTGATTAATAATTTAGCAACTGCAGTGCTCCCACCAGTTTCATCCGATCCTTCCACATTATCATCAATGGCTAGTCCCCCAATGTACCTTCCAAAGACCAGATCAGTTCATTCATCCACGTCCCTAAGCCCAAGCCGCAGCAACCACAGCCGCGGCAGCAACAGGCGCCGCCGTAATCATCGCCGCAACAGGAGCCGCCAAACCAGCAGCAGCATCAGGAGTCTTGGTAGCCGCGGGCTCCGTGAACGACTTGACACCACCCGTCACGACAAGGTAGTAGTACGAGCTAGTCGGGCTCTCATAGGTAGACTTGGTGGACGACGACGAAGCATACGTTCCGCCATTGTCACTTCCACTCATTCCCACGCTCATGGTGCAGCTCGCTGACTCTGTCCAGGACTTCAACGAGCATTCGTACGACCGCGTCACCGTGACGTCGTAGCTGGTGGACTTGTCCGACGTCGAAGCAGTGTACACCTGGCTCAGGCTGATGGTGTCGGGGCCTTGGATGATCGTGTATGCGTCCTTCATGTTGCAGTCGGTCTTGGGCGCGTCTTTCAGACAGCCCACTTTGTAGGTGGTCTTTACGGCGTTGATCCCCGCGACGCTGGCGCCGGTGCTGGTCCAGCCGCCGTATTCTAGGTAGGTCGCGGACCAGTTGGGGATGAAGTAGCCCACTGTTGTGGTGCTGTCATCGTCGGCGTGGGCACCGACGAAGAGGGTGATGG